AGCAGAGAGGGCGACGGCGGAGCACGAGGGGGCAACGGAGCAGTCAACGGAGACGCTACTGATGACGCGAACCGAGGCACGGGCGACGGCGGGGACGGGGAGGGCGACAGCGATGTCGAGGTTGACGCAACGGTATCGAGAGCGCCACCCAACGGTCGGCGCGCAACCCAACGGTGTCCAATATTCAGGTCGCCTACTCGCTGCCTCCCGAAGGTCGGCGGGTTCGGCGTTGGGGCCAAACCACAGCGCACAGGTTTCTTTCGATCCGGGCCACCCCAAATTTGATCAGCAAATTTCGAGGGGCGGCCGCAAATTCTGAGGTAGATTTTGATTGTCAAAACACGTCCGTCTTGCCGCAGGATAAACCTAGACAAGGAGAGGAGAGAGAGGAGAGAGAGAGAGAGAGAGGAGAGGGGAGAGGGTGAGGGTGTGTGCACACGTGAGGAGTGGGGAGGGTGTCTGTGGTGGGCTGTAGTCATACTTTCTTCGTGGTTAAAACCACGCGCCCCTCAGGAGCTAAGGTAGAGTGGAGCACTTGGAGCACTTGGAGTGCAATCAGTAACCTCACATCCAGGGCCGAGGAGCTCAGAAGCGCACCCAGCGGGCCGGATGATCGGTGTCGGGTTGCGGCGTCCCAGACGCCTCGGTGCCACCCACCAGCGTGAAGACCATCCGGATCAGCCCAGTACGCCCTCCGGGCGAACGGTCCCCGCGATGGCCCACGGTCCTCCGCGTCGCCTGGTTGACCCCCTGCCTCCCGGTTGACCCCCCGATCCTCGTGCGGCAGACCGCACTTGGAGCACTTGGAGTGCAGTCGGCAACCTCACATCCAGGGCCGGTGAGCTGAGAAGCGCATCCAGCGGGCCGGATGATCGGTATCGGGTTACGGGCTAGAGAGCCCTAGCCCCGGGGGTGCGCGTTCGCAGGGCAAGGGCCTTAAAGTAAACACGGGTCTCCGAGGGTTAGCTCCGCGCTCCAGGTTTCCCCTAGCAGCAGAACGCCCCCTCTACCCGCACTTTCATCGCGCGTTCTCGCCGGACGGACGTTCGCCGAGTATCAAATCAACTAACCTTTGCTTACCTCTTCCGCCGAGACTCTTTTTCACGGATCACGGCCTCCACGCGAGTCCCACACCGCGCGCTGTACATACGCACCCCCTCGCCCGTAGCGTACCGATCAGCCGCGCTGCCGCTTGCGCGCCCCCCCTGCCGCCTTCGGACGCCCCCCGCGCTCGCCAACCCGGAAGGTGTACGTCGCCTTGCACTCGCCAAACGAGAGAGCAGACCCGTCCCGCAGCCGCCTGCTCTCGCCGCCCGGCACCCGGCCACCGTCGACAAACGTGCCAGAGGCGGAGCCCAGATCGAGCACGTAGCTCTCGGCGACGCCCCCCGACTCGGCGTGCAGCAGCGCCGCGTGCTGCCTGTTCACAGCCAGAGGCGTGAAGAGGCGCTGCCCCGCTCGCTTGGTGCAGCAGAGCTGCCGTGAGCTGCCGCGAGACGGAGCCGTCCGAGACGACGACGTCGCTCAGCTCCGCCTTCCGGCCGAAGACGGTCGCGCGGCCGCAGAGCGGCAGCTCCTCGTCAACGTCTCCGCCCTCGCCCTCCCGCAAGTGCTCGAGGTATGGGTTTGAAAAGTCGTTGGAGCGCACCTCGAGATAGCACTTCCGCGCCGGCTCCTCCGCCCAAGGAGGGGGCCTCCACCTCGCAAGCTTCACAGGCTCGCAGCCAGCGACGCGGTAGACCACCTTCGACGAGCCGAGGCGGAAGGTCGCGCCCTCGGCCAGCTGCTGCGGCTCCGCGGTGTGGTAGAGCCGCACGCCCAACTGCGGCACCTGCAACTCAGCCAGATCTCGCTCAGATCTCGGCTGTCCCTCGGAGGGGCGTGATGCCGCACGCCCAGCTGCGGCACCGCGTGCGTCCGCCCCGCAGCGTCGTACCACGTCCCGTGCGCCGAGTCGAGGTCGGCGAGGAAGGTAGCGCTGGAAGAGTTGTACAGGGCGGCTTGCATCCGCGAGAGCGACGGGTCGTCCAACAGGATGTCCGCGACGCCGCCGTGGCGGCCGAGAATGGTGACGGGTCGCTCTCCGATGGCCATCGAACGGCTCACCTGGCCCCTCTCGATCATCTCGAGGCGCGGCGTGTGCATCGCCGCCGGCTTGCACCACGGAGGCGGCCGGAACTTGCCGCCGCCGGGAGCAGCGGCCGTCGTCGCGCCGCCCGCCGCCGCCGCCTCGGGAGGCCTCGACACCTCGGGAGGCGGCGCAAGCGGCGGCGCGGGCGCGGGCGGCGGCGGCGGCGGCGGCTGCGGCGGCGCTGGGGCAGGCGGCGCCGACGGAGCTGCGTCCGCCTCCTCCTCCTCCTCGGCGTACCCTACGTCGGTGGAGGGGTAGGCGTCGATGGCAGCGTCGGTGTCTGGGTACGCGCCCGCCGCCCCGTCTCCGTCGGAGGGCGGAGATGCTCCCGTCACGCCTGCTTGCCCGTCCGGATAAGCAGCGTCGGTGTCCGGATAAGCAGCGTCGGTGTCCGGATAAGCAGCGTCGGTGTCCGGATAAGCAGCGTCGGTGTCCGGATAAGCAGCGTCGGTGTCCGGATAAGCAGCGTCGGTGTCCGGATACGGGTCGCCCTCGTCTCCATCGCTGCCGATGCCGCCCGCGCCGTCCTCACTGCCGAGGTACGCCCCCGCGACTCCCTCCTCCGCAAAGGCTGCCCCGCCGTGCCCCTCTCCCCCCCCCTCCGTGTGCGCAAAGGCGCCCTCCGCCGCCGAGATCTCTTCGCACCGCTGCAGCTGCTCCCGCCGCGCCCGCCGCAGCGCCTCGTCTCCACGCACCTAATTAATAATTAATGATTAATTACTTGACTAACTAATGAATTGCCCGCCGCAGCGCCTCGTCGCCGCGCACGTCGATCGCGTCGAGGTCGCAGCACAGCTGCGTGCAAGCCTGTTGATTAACCCTTAATAAATCAATTCTTCATTCATGAAGCTCGAGGTCGCAGCACAGCTCTGCGTGGTGCAAGCCTCCCGCACAGCCACAGGATCAAGCGACGCCGCCCGCGCCTGCAGCGCGGTCAGCTGGTCGGCGACGCGCTGAATCGCCTCGAGCGCTGCTGCATGCGCGCCCGACGACGACCCCTCCTCCTGATCCTCCTCCTCCTCGCCCGCCACGCCAAACGGGTCGATGCTGCCGCTCGTGCCGTCGGGCGCAGTCCAGCTTTTTGCGCGGTCGTCGAGGGTGTAGCCGCGCTGCGCGAGGGCGTCGCGAGCCGCATCGGCCGCGCGGAAGTCGCGCCGCTGCCGCGCGGCGCTCCGCTCCTCGAGCCTGCTCCGCAGCTCCTCGCGGGAGAGCAGAGGGCCGAGCACGTCTGCGGCGGTGGCGCGGAGCCCGGTGACGTACGAGAAGCCCTCGGGGGGAGCCTCGGCCTCGGACGCCTCGCTGCCGGCGTCGGAGAGCTCGTCCAGCTGCGCGAGGAGCGACGACATTTAATTTCACTTCACCTTCACCAACTACCTGCTCCGCTCGAGCTTCGCGGCGCGTTGCCAACACATCTTCTTGTGTGTATAGGAAGGTAAAGAAAAAGAATTAAGAATTCAACAAAAAAGAACTCTCTCTCGCCGACAGAGGTTCGACACAGGAAAAAGAATTTTACCAATCCTCGCACAACACAGAGGGGGAAAAGAAACGGGGAATGCGGCCCCGCCACGATAAGTGCGTTCTGGGGATGCAGAGCGTGCAAAGCGGCTAGGGATGAGGTCACAAAAGAGGCGCGTGTCGCAGGAGGTGGTGGAGAATGACCTCCAGACTGACCCGGAGAATCACCTCCACTCAGCCCCACCTCAGCACCCCTATTATCACTCTCTCCCCCGGATACCCATCACTGAGCCGACAATGCTACGGGTAGCCCCAGGGTGGCGCCCACCCCCATGCCCTCGGGCACTTGCCTGCGCCCTCGCGCACTAGCCCACGCCCTGCCCCGCAAGATCTCACTCCATCCCGGCCTGTGGCATACCTCGGCACCCCCTTGCACGGAATCTGAGCGTGAGGGAATCTGAGTGTGAGGGAATCTGAGCGTGAGGGAACCTGGGCAGTGCCGCGTAGTGCGGCGTGCGCGGACGTGCGCGGGACGTGCGGCGGACGTGCGCGGGACGTGCGGCGGACGTGCGCGGGGCGTGCGCGGGGCGTGCGGCGGGCGTGCGCGGGGCGTGCGGCGGGCGTGCGCGGGGCGTGCGGCGTGCGCGGGGCGTGCGGCGGGCGTGCGCGGGGCGTGCGGCGTGCGCGGGGCGTGCGGCGGGCGTGCGCGGGGCGTGCGGCGGGCGTAGTGCCGCTGCCGCAGTCAGGCGCGCCCGGTGCGCGCAACTACCTCGACATCATTCTATCGCCAGCGCCTACGCGACCGAGCTCCCCTGCTCCGCTGTCTGCCTTGCCGCCTGTCGAGCTGCCCAGCCTTCAGTCCGCCGTCTCGCGCGACCCTCCCTTCGGTGTCGTGGCCGAAGCTGCTGCCGCGGGCAGGCCAGACAACCACGCGCACGCCTTCCCCTCGCCGGGGAATGGAGCCTGCAGGGCAGGGAGCAGGGCAGGGAGCGGTTCGGATTTTTCGGCGCCTGTCGAGCCGCCAGTTGGCACGCCTCCCGACGCTTCGCTCGCCTCTCCGTTTACGGATGATGTCGCGGCCGGAGCCGCTGACGCTGCCGCTGCCACCTCGCTCTTCGCGCTCGACGGCATCGCTGCCGACGACTTGCAGGCTGCTGCTCGTACGAGCTCGCCGACTTCGGCACGCCCATCCGTGCCGTCCGACCCGCCACCCGGCACGCCTCCCGACGCTTCGCTCGCCTCTCCGCTTACGCGGCGGCACACCTCAATCCTCATTCGACAAACCAGCTCCCAACCCCCGCAAGGTGCGCGATACACACACACAAATCTTGATTGATGTGCACAATACGATAGTACGAATTCTTTTTTTCGCTCTCCCCCTGTCGTGCGCGGCGTAACCTGACAGACTGATAATATGTCCGCGCTCTCCGACGATGACGATGTTGACGATGGGCGGGCCCTCGCGCTGCGCGGTCCGCTCGAGGCTCTCTTGACCGCAGTCAAAGCGATTCCCGGCGACGAAATCGACCCCGTTGAAGCGTGCGAGGCGCTGGAGCTCCTCGCTCAGCTCTCCGCTGTGTTGCAAGCCAAGGCGTTTGGTGCAAACTCGAGCTCCCCGCTGCTGGCACTGCCCCCAGAGGTGCTCGTGCACATCTGCCGTCAGCTGCCTGTTTTCGCTCTTGCCGCGGCCGCGCAAACATGTCGGTGCTTCGGCGGAGCACGCGTCAAGGCGCAAGCGCAGCAGCCTATCGTGGAGCAGGCACTTCGGCTGCAGGAGGCGGAGCGTGTCCCAGCACCGACAGAGCGCCGGCGCATGCACGATTCGGCGCTCACCTGGCGGCCTTGCCCGGGCCGGGTCGCGATGTCGCCAGCCGGCGCGAGCGAGCTGCTGTGCAACGCCCTGCGACACTGCTTTCGCCGGTCGCAGGTGCTGGCCGCAGCACGTTCGCATTCGGTCTTCCTCAGTCCCACCGGGCGAGTCCTCACGTGCGGCAGCAGCTCCCGCACGGCCCCTCCCGACGACGACGACGACGACGACGACGACGAGCCGTGCTCCGCGATGCTGGGACAGGGGCAGGCACGCGCTGAGGTCGCCAAGCCAGAGGTGGTGTCACCGGCGACCTCGCCCATCTGGACCGAGTCTGACAAGCGCTTCGTTGCCGTGGCTGCAGGGCCGCACTGTACCCTTGCCGTGTCTGACATCGGCGAGGTGTTCTCGTGTGGTCGGGGCGAATCCCTCGGCAGGAGTGCGAGTGGCGGCGACGAAGACGGCCACACCCTCTCCTGCATCGGCATGCTGCAGCGCAGCTTCGTCGTCGCGGATCCAATCGTCGCCGTGGCGTGCGGCGTGCAGCACTGCCTCTGCTTGAGCGAGCGCGGCGTCGTGCGTTCGTGGGGCGTGGGCATCGAGGGCGCACTTGGCCACGGTAAGCACGGCGGCCCCTCTGAGCGTTCGCCAACAACCGTGGAGGGCCTCCTGTCGGTGCGTGTGGTGGCAGTCGCCGCGGGCTTCCACCATAGCGTTGCGCTCTCGGCGTGTGGGATCGTCTTCAGTTGGGGGAAGGCTGGCACGCTCGGCCTGGGCGAGACGGCGCACTTGCACAGCCCTCACCCCATCAAGTTGCTGCTCAGAATCGCGTCCGCCGACAACGCTCGCATCTGCGCAGTCGCCGCCGGGGGGTCGCATTCGCTCGCTCTCGGCCACACGGGCAGCGCATACTCCTGGGGAAGCAACAACGAGGGCCAGCTCGGCCAAGGCCTCGACGCGTGGCGGCTCCGCAAAGACGAGGGCCAGTCACCGCTGCCCGATCGCGTGGCGGCTCCGCCGCTCGGCTCTGCCGCAGACGACGCTGCCGCTCGCGTTCGATTCCGGGCGATCGCCTGCGGCGCGTCGCACAGCGTGGCGCTCTCCGCTGCGGGGGAGGCCTTCGCGTGGGGCTCGTCTGCGGACGGCCGTCTCGGCGTGCGGCTCACGCAGCAAGGCAAGCAGAAGGGCCACTGGCGTCGCCGCCGCGGCCGCGGCATCGTGCTCGTGCCGCTGCGCGTGCAGGGTCCGCGTGACCTCGTGCACGTCTCGGCGGGGTGGGCGCATACGCTCGCCTCGACACACGACGGGCGCGTCTACGGGTGGGGCGACGTCTCAGACCACAGCTTGCCCCACAGCCTAGGAGGCCAAGTTGTCCAAGACCACACGCAAGTCGACAGGCCAGCGCTAGCCGGTGGAGGTGAAGCGGAGGCGCCTCCGACGCTGTATCCGCCGGAGCTCTGTGTTCGCGCTCGTGAGAGCTCGTGAGGTCGCGAATTTCCTCCGTAAATAATAAGTGAGTGTGAGTGAGCACACACACATACACACGCGCGCGCGCGTATGTATGTATGTATGTATGTAGAAAGATTGCCCTCCCCTACGTGCCCACGCCCTCAAACCCTTTTTGTGTATCGCGCGCCTTGCGGGGGGGGCGCGGAAAAGAGGAACCTCTTAGCGCCATCGCCACGGTGCTGCATGCAGCGCCGGGCGACGACGGCTTACCGCCTCCCGGTCCCCCTCGGCACACCTCCGCTGCTCAATGTTTGACGGCTCGAACCCGTGAAGCTTCCCCGTGCGCGGGTTACCCCGCACACGGGTCAGCCTGCCAGCCACGTATCCACGCAAGCGTGGTCCGCGTGCATGGCATACAGGCGTCCGCCAGACAGCGCAGAGGCTAGGCGACCGGGGAAGGACTAGCTCAAGGGCAACACAGCGTCACCAGCCGTTGGCGCGCAGAACGAGTCTGCGGCCCTCGGTTGGGACGAGTGCGCGACGCGGTTGAACCGCTCAATATGGCCGGCAGCTCGCGCTGCCGGCGGGGTTGGTTGGGGAGAACCGGCACGGGGAGAGCCGGCCTCCCCGGAGGGGTCGCCCCCTGGAGGGGCCCCAAAGGGCCCCCCGGGGGGGCGGGGGCCCCCGCCCCGAGGGGCGGGGGCGGGTCCTAGCTTCCGTGTCGCTCCCCTCGTCGGGAGTGTCCGTCGGGATGGTGTTGTCCGCCCACTCGGCAGCGTTTGAGCCTCTGTCAAGGTAAGGTAAGGTAAGGTAAACTTCTCCACACACACGAGGTGGTGGGGCAAGGGGGGGCAACCCTCGCGTCTCCACGTCGTTAGCCTCTGTCACCTTGCCTGCCGCGAGCAGCTAGCTCGTCGACGTAGTCGTTCCATTTGTTGCCGCTGTGACCCGCCACATGCCTCCACGTCACGGTGTGTTTGGCGCGAAGGCGTCGCCAGAGGGAACGAAGGCGCTCCGCTAGCTGTCTGTTCGTTTTGGGGGTCACCCTCCCCATCATGCAGGCCGCCGCGTACTCGCTGTCGGTCCGCACTACTCCGCGTGAGCCCGCTCGTTGCGGTGACGAGGACAGGAGAGCCCGGAGGAGCTCGGCTAGGGCGGTTAGTTCCGCCGTGTTGTTGGTATGCCTGCGCGCGCCGAGGTAGGCTGGGTGCGCCGCCGAAGTGACAACTGGCCCGTAGCCCTCGCTCGCCAGCGACGCGCCCCTATCGCCGATTGCGTCGCCCCCGATGAGTACTGTATAGGCCCACCCTGCTTTCCCTAGGTCTTCCGACCCGCGCCGATGGCTTCTAAGCGCCCGCGACCTGCAGAGCCGGACCGCCCCGCTGGCGAGCGCCCAACGGTGACGCTGAGCGGCGGGGAGCCCTGCCCTGCCGGCCAGGTAAATCTGTGGCGGGCGGGAAAGCTGTGTGATGCGACGGTGCACGCTGACGGCCGAGCCTTTCAGGTCCACCGCGCCGTGCTGGCGGGCGCGTCCGAGTTCATGACCGCACTCTTCACGTCCGGCATGCGCGACAGCGACGAGCCCACCATCTCCGAGGTAGCGGGCGATGTCTTCTCGGCACTTCTCGAGTGGATCTACTGCGGTGAGTGCCGCGTCGAAGCTGCCCTGCTCGGCGGCATGCTGGACGCGTCGAGCAGGCTGCAGCTGCCATCGCTCCAGAACGCGACTGTTGAGGCCTTGGTCCAGGGCATTGACCCATCCAACGCCGCGCAGTATTGGGAGTGCGGGGACGCCCACAACTTCCCTCGGCTCGTGGAGGCGGCCAAGGCCGCTGCTCTCCAGTCGTTTGGCGAGTTCTCGACGTGCGTGGCCTTCGACGCGCTCCCCGTTGGCCGCGTGTGCGAGCTGCTGAAGAGCGACGACCTGATGGCTGACTCAGAGGAGGTTGTGTTCCGAGCCGCAGCGCGGTGGGTGGCGGCCAACTCGTCCGCCTCTGAAAAGGAGGTTGAGGCAGTCTACTCGCAAGTCAAGTACGGCCTCCTGCCCGCCGCATTCCTCTCATCGGTGGTGGAGCAGGACCCGCCTCTGGCCACCCACCCGCGCAGCGGCTGGATCGTGGCGCGGTCGCTCAAGGCACACATCGATCAGGGGCCTTCGCCGCGAGGCCCCATCGTCACGGTCCTCAATCCTAGGTACCTCTATATCAGGGATAACCTTATGGCCCTGCATCTGGGCGTGCAAGACGAATGGGATCGGCGCGCCATCGTTGTCGCCGGCGACAAGGGTACTCCACTGGCCATGGGGGCGACATGGGATTTCGCGTCACCGAACTTCGTGGCCGTACGAATTTCGCGCACCGGTTCGGTGATTCTCATCGAACAGCAAAAGTTGGAGCTGGTGCGCGGAGCGTGGCCTGCTTCCAAGGGGAGGCCCCCACGCTAACGAGCTTCATCTGTAGCTCCGGCAGCGAGCGCGTCCACAGCGCCCTAACGACCGCTCGGACTAGTTGAGCTCAGAACCCAGTTCCGGCGAGACCGCTCACAAGAGCAACGGGCGGGGCGAGGTGTTGGGTGTTGGATGTGTCAAAGAGCTCAGTCGCACGCGCATTGGCGAGCGACGTCTTGCCCACCGCTGGTGGTCCAAACACGAACAATGCCGCCGGCTCCGTCGCCGCAGGTGCAGTCATCTTGTGCACGCGCTTGTACAGCTCAGCGACTTCGTCGGCCGTCAGTTCACGCCGGATGTCCTCGAGCATGTCCTTGGGTATCTGCCCGCGAACGATGACCCAGATGCCGAGGGCGCCGCTCGGCGCTGAGCGCGGCTGCTGCGCGATCGTCTTGGCCACGGCGCGCCGCCATCGGGTCTTTGCTTCTGCCATTGTCACGTCCAGTCGTCCGTCCGGTCTAGATACCTGGTCGCGAGCCGATCATGAACATGATTGCTCGCCCGCGCCGTGTGCGTACTTTTGAGCACTTGAGCACTGGATAGGGTCGATTCCGCATGGTACGGGACCCCTCCGATCGTCTCGCCCTCCCTCGCTGGTGTGCTCATTGGGGGGGGTCATAACAAACACGGTACAAACTTTTAGCTACTGGGAGAAAAGGGGGAGGGTTGTTGAACTGTGTGATCTGTCCGAGCAGCATGGCTTGGTGTACCGCGTTTGTACCGCGTCCTGTGCCCCCGAGTTCATTTAATACATAAGCAGCATGGCATTGCGGGATGCACTTGTGTGTTGTGACTTGAACACTTGAGCACTGGTGACTGGAAGGGTCGATCCCGCATGGTACGGGACATTAGGGACCCTCCCTCGGGCGTGTTCATTGGGGGCGCGCGAGGCAATGGCTTGAAGGCAATGTGCATCTTTCCAATACACTGAGCGCCAGTCTGCGCCCTTGTCGTGCCAGTGTGCTGTGAGAGAGGCTTGTATTTTAAGAATTCTAATCTAAAATCATATATTCTAGCATATCCTATTTCATTACCCAATAGCAAAAACAAATCTGCAGGACCACCGATCTCCGAAGTCGATAGTGCCGCTGCGACACTGGTGCGGCGGTTAATGAATAACTCGAACGACAGTCTCATGCCGGGCTCGAGATGCCGGGCCCTCTAGGGCGGGCCGCTCGAGAGAGAGCTGCCAGGAGGAGTGCGGCCATTACACTGCCGTCCGGGCAGCCCTGTGGGCAGCGCTCCGCCACCGGGCGCCCCCGAACCAGGGGCTCCGCACCGGCGGCATCATGCGTCCGAACGACCGAGTCTGTGGCGTGCACCTGCACCCTCTCTCTCCCACTCTCCGGCCCCTCTCAGCGGAGGATGGTGTTAGAGTGCGGCGCGCCCCCCGCGCCGATGGCGGCCGCATTCTTCGCGGTGATATCATGGCCGCCGCAGCACGTGCAGCCGCACGCGGCGCAATTGTTGTAGTACATCGGCGGCGGGCACGGCCCCTCGCGGACGCCCTTCGTGCCGCCGACCTCCGCGACGACGGTGAAGGGGTAGCCTACCTTGTGCTCCACGACAGTCTCCGCGCCAATCTCCTCCTTGATCGCCGCCTCGGACAGGGCCTTGTTGCCTGAGGCGAGAACGACGAGTGAGCACGATGGAGAGGGCGGAGCAGTGCGCATGGAGAGAGCGCAGCGCGGCGATGGAGAGGGCGAGATGATGAGCAGTGCGCGAGAGAGCGCTCGCGCGGAGGCGAGCGCTGCTGCTTACCAAGGACCCAGCCCGCCCAGGGTCAGGAGTAGAGCGTCACGGTCTTCGACATCAACAACCGGGAGGCTCTCGAGGTTCTCGAGGTTGATATCCTTTGGCACTCGATGGCCGGCGGTCGCTCGGGGCCGGAGCTGAAAAGAAAGAAGAGAATAGACAAGCCAAAGGAGGCTGGAGCTGGCCAGAGATGGACCGGAGTCTTTTTTCTTCGTGTCAGACGGGATTCGCGCCAACATTTCCCACCAAGCACCACCCACCACACACTGGGTATGTTCGGCGCGCCAGACACCTCCTCCGTCGTGCACGAGCAGCCGGTCCGCGCCCCCGATCCTCCCCACGCCGCCACAAAGCGCCGGCCGCCTGTCCGCTGGCCGCGCCTGCCGCCGAGAGCGGCCGATTGCACGGGGCCGCCAGCGCAGACCGCGTTGATTGCCCTTTCCTGCCGCGGGCGAGGCCTCCGCCGCCGCCGGCAAAGCAGCGCAGCCGCACAGCACTCGCACTCGCACCGCCGCCGCCGCTGCCGTATGCCGCCCGCCCGCCGCTGCCGCCGCTGCCGCCGCCGCCGCCGCCGCCGCCGCCGCCGCAGTCGCCACCGCCCACTCCCGCTCCCGGCACCTTCCACTTGCGCCCGATTCGTCCGCCCGCGCCCGCCCACCGCGCAGTGGCTCGAGAAGTACCGCCCGCGCGAGGTCAAGGACATCGTCGGCAACGAGGACACCGTCGGCCGCATCGCTGTCCTTGCGGCGCAGGGACCGCCTCTCGCCTCTGCCTAGGCCCTCGCACAAGCCTCCTCCTCTGACCCGAGCCGCTTCCCCACAACCCACCCCAGGCAACATGCCGAATCTGATCCTGTCCGGCCCCCCCGGGACCGGCAAGACCACCTCTGTCCTCGCCCTCGCCCGCGCGCTGCTCGGCGACGCCTTCAAAGAGGCGGTCCTAGAGCTGTGACCAGCGTCTCTTCACAGCTCGAGCTGTGAACAGGCGACGCCTTCAAAGAGGCGGTCCTCGAGCTGAACGCCTCCGACGACCGCGGAATCGACGTCGTGCGCAACCGCATCAAGAGCTTCGCGCAAAAGAAGGCTTCGCCCGCCCTGCCACTCCTCCCCCTCCCCCGAACCAGCGCTACGTTCACTCGCGTGCCACCCGCCCCTTCCCCGCTCCCCCTTTCCACTGCGACTACTCACCGGCCGCTCCACCACTGGCAGGCCACAGCTGTGAACAGCGTCTCTTCACTCCCCACCCACCGACCACACCGTGTGCCAGGTCACCCTGCCGCCCGGCCGCCACAAGATCGTCGTCCTCGACGAGGCGGAGATCGAGCCGAGATCGAGATCGAGCCGAGATCGGAGATCGAGCCGAGATCGGAGATCGAGCCGAGATCGGAGATCGAGCCGAGATGGTCATCCTCGAGGCCAGAGGGGCTTCCCTGGGCACACCCCGCCTGGTGCTGCCGGGCGCCGCTCGTCTGGCGAAGGGGGGCAGGGCTTGCAGGGCTTCTCGTAGCCGTCCTTCTCGCCATCTCAGGGGTGCCATTGACGAGTCTGTGCCCCCCCCCCCCCTTCCCCCCCCCCCCGGGCCTCAGGCGGACTCGATGACCGAGGGGGCGCAGCAGGCGACCATATCTCCCCATATCTCCCCATATCTCCCGCATATCTCCCCATCCCTCGATGACCGAGGGGGCGCAGCAGGCGACCATATCTCCCCATATCTCCCCCATATCTCCCGCATATCTCCCCATCCCTCGATGACCGAGGGGGCGCAGCAGGCGACGCGGAGGGGGAGGGAGGGTCTGCTTCGGCTGTCCCCTCACCAGCGTGCATTCATGCATGGCAGGCGATGCGGAGGACGATGGAGATCTACTCGGTGACCAAATTAGCCGAGAGGAGTAGCCGAGAGGAGCCGAGAGGAGTAGCCGAGAGGAGTAGCCGAGAGGTAGCCGAGAGGAGCCGAGAGGAGCCGAGATTAGCGGAGAGGAGCCGAGATTAGCGGAGAGGAGCCGAGAGGAGCCGAGAGGAGCCGAGAGGGAGCCGAGAGGAGTAGCCGAGAGGAGTAGCCGAGAGGTAGCCGAGAGGGAGCCGAGAGGTAGCCGAGAGGAGTAGCCGAGAGGAGCCGAGAGGAGCCGAGAGGAGTAGCCAAGAGGTAGCCGAGAGGTAGCCGAGAGGAGTAGCCGAGAGGGAGCCGAGAGGAGTAGCCGAGAGGAGTAGCCGAGAGGAGTAGCCAAGAGGTAGCCGAGAGGAGCCGAGAGGTAGCCGAGAGCAGTAGCCGAGAGGTAGCCGAGAGGAGGCGAGAGGTAGCCGAGAGGAGTAGCCGAGAGGCAGCCGGAGGGCGACGGAGCTCGGCTCGGCGACTTGATCGCCCCGCGCTCGCTCGCGCAGCCAGAGACAGCGACGACTCGCAGCCAGAGACAACTGTACGAGCAGCGCACCGCCACCCCCTCCCCCCTCCCCCCTCCTCCTCTGTCAGGCGACCACACGGTTCGCGCTCGCGTGTAACCAGAGCGACAAGATCATCGAGCCGATCCAGTCCCGCTGCGCCATCCTGCGCTACGGCGAGCTGCGAGGCGGCGTCGCGGCGGCGGCAGCGGCGCATCTTCACAGCTGCCAGCTGTGAACAGGCAAGCTCTCGGACCAGCAGGTGGTGACGCGGCTGACGGCGGTGCCGCAAGCCGACGGGTTCCAGTGAGCTTGGTCTAGGCATGCGTTCTCAGGAATGACTTCGTTCTCAACCAGGTGTTGCAGGCGGAAGGCGCAGCCTACGACGAGGGCGGCATCGAGGCGGTCGTCTTCACGGCCGAGGGGGACATGAGGCAGGCGCTGAACAACGCGCAGGCGACCGCGGCGGGGCTCGAGGCATCCTCTTCTGCTACTCCGAGTGAGCGGAGTCATGATTGGAGTGGGCAGGCGACCACTGCGGGGTTCGGTATCATCTCGAACCAGAACGTCTTCAAGGCAGCCGCGCCCTCTCCTCCTCCCGGCCAGCGAAGGCTCTCGCCAGAAGGAGTGAGCACGTGACAGGTGTGCGACCAGCCTCACCCTGACCCTAGCCCTAGCCCTAACCCTAACCCTAACCCTAGCCCTAACCCTAGCCCTAACCCAACCCTAACCCTAACCCCAACCCTGACCCTAACCCTACCCCTGCAGGTGTGCGACCAGCCTCACCCCGTCGTCATCAAGCGAGCCATCGCCGCGTGCATCGCCGCGGACTTCGACGCGGCTTGCTCGGCCGGCGAGGCGCTGTCTAAGTATGAACGAGCTCGCTGACTACGCCCTCATTATTCATTAGGCTTGCTCGGCCGTCGAGGAGCTGTCCAACAACGGGTGTGACGAGACGCTGTAGTGGGATGAGCCGAGATTTCTCGAGGAGTCACCCACGGGTTCAGTGGGGTGGAGAGGAAGGGGTTGGGGGGGGGGGGGGGAGAGGGGGGGGGAGTGGGAGGGGGGGCTCCTGCTGAATGAGGCGCTCTTCATGTGTCCGACAACCCCTGCTTCGGTGCGGCACCGACTAGGTACAGCGGGATGGACGTGGTGGGCACGCTGTTCAAGCTAGTCAAGTGCGACGGGCGGGAGGAGGCGAGCTCACGCTCCTGAGGAGGCGGCTCGTGAGCCGCAGCATGCGCTGTCCTCAGGTTCGAAGAGATGGACGAGGGGCTCAAGCTCGACTTCATCAAGGAGATCGGCGCCGCGCACATGCGCGTGCTCGACGGGATGGACACGCTGCTGCAGCTGACAGGCCTCATCGGCAAGCTCTGCCTCGCCGCGCAGCAGCGGAAGGGCGCGCCGCGCGGCTGACCATCTCGAGGCGGACCGTCCCGGTGCCGGACACGCGACGCCCGACCACGGAGACCAGCGCAGCGCACCCGGCTCGCCACGACCGGAAGGGGTCCGCCGGTGTGTATGAGCCACGCAGTGCACAAAATGTACGTTACGACCCAGTATATGTGAACTCCACTCCACTATAAACCCCGGGAAAAAATTGGCAAAACGGCACACATGTATGTTCTAGTGCGCACGTAGAGCCGAGAGAGACTTAGACGACCTCCGGAAGCGCGGGAACGGCCGGGCGAGAGACGCCCCACACACTCCCACGACACTTCACACCTCGGCTCAGGGCTTTGTGCCTCGAACGTGTTGTATGTCTATGTGGTGATGCGATGCTATCCCCTAAACAGCTCAGTAACGCCACTTGCCCTGCCGCAGGAGAGGCCTCCGCGCGCTCGCGGCCAACGCCGTGTACTGCGCGAACGACTCCTTAACGACGCCGACGGCATCAGCGGTGAACGCAGCCGCCGCCGCCTCCCGTGCCTCGGTCGCCTCTGCTCTGGCCAGCGCCTCCGCCACCACCTTTCCTTGGCTCACGAGTAGCTCCTTCAGCCCGGCTCGCTCGGACACCCATCCGGCCGTCGCCTGCCTACACAGGAATCGCGCCGTTGGCCAGTTGGCGCGCCTGGCCAGTCGCTCGGGGTGAAGCGATGGCGCACTCGAACTCCGAGGTGGCGGCAGCGAGGGCGCCCTCGAGCAGGTGAATGCGCTGCCGGAGCTTGTCGGCGCTGTCAGCGCTCTCCTGCAGGTTTGACCGTGGATGATAACGGACCGAAGTGTAGGAGAGGTGTCGGCGAGAACCCTCCTGCAGCAGCTCCCCCGCCCTCACCGCACGGCAGCCAACGATGCTGGCCGCCTCCGTGTACGACTGCGCCTCCAGCCGCTCCTACGAAGGCACCAAGGAGGCGAACATCTGTGCAAGGATAGGCAAGTCGAGCCCTTACGCACTTTTCACAAAGGGGCTCTCACAGCAAACTCTGAATTCACGGGGCCGACTACAGTGTAAAGCGGGAAGTCGGTGGTTGCAGCCTGCGCGAGCGTGCGGCGGGTTTCGGCAGCAAGGTGCTCAGCGATGCGCAGGTCGGCGGAAAGGACTGTTGTGACGACGTCCCCGCCGCCAAGAGCGTCGGCTAAAGCCTGGCTTGTCAGCAGCGCGTTGGCTGTCTCTGCTTCCGCCTTGCGCTCTGCTGCCGCGAGTCGTGTCTGGAGCTCCTCGACCTCCTGCCGGTGCTTAGCTGCGGCGGCGGCGGCCGTGGCGACCACAGCTCTCATCTCCGACCGGCACGACTCGAGAGCAGACACAGACTCTGTGCTCACCGACCGAGCCGCTGCCAAATCTGAGCGGTGGACGGCCTCAATGGCGGCGAGGTGGCGAGAAAGGAGGGCGCGCTCATGAGCGCCGAGCCGTGTCGAGAGCAGACGCGCGTAGGCGCCCCTCGCCCGTGACGATACTAGCGAGCCCTCTCTGGGTTGCGCCATATTGCAATGTCGATTCGCGTCGTCGCAACACTTGTCCAACTGTCGCCGACCTCAGCGGGACGCACGACGGAGCCGTTACACATGCCGCCAGAAATCTTGAGTTCTTTTTCTCCCCTAGAATTCTTCTGCGGCGCGCTCTAACAAGCCCTACAGAGGACGTTTCAGAATCGATTGCGATCCTGCGATGGAAAGCGAGGGCGAGGAGAGCGCTGCGGCAGCCCCCGCGCCGACGGCGCCGTACCTCGGCCTGGTCGGTGCGCAGATTGACGACGAGCCCTACTCTCCCTCGCCCGACGAGCCCCCTCGGCCACTAGGCAGCGTGACTCCAGCCGCAGCGCAGAGCAACCAGGCCACTCCTCGCCCGGCGGAGGAGGAGTACGACCTCACTGGACTGCACGCTGAGGCGTTCGACCACGACGCGGCAAAGGAGCGGATCAAGCAGTACAAGCGCGAGGCCGAGGACCGCCGCCGCAAGAAGATGCAGGCGCACTGCTAGCGCCAAGGAACCACGCACCATTGCAGCCTCCTTCCCATCTCAACCATGAGTTGCTGTCGTCGTCCCGAGGTTATCAGCCGCCATGTACCAGATCCGACGCCCTTGTTCACCCGCAGGCGCAGCAGCGTGAGGCGGAGAGGTTGAGTGCGGAGCTGGAAAAGGAGAGAGAGAGGCAGGCTGCGTCCTCCCGTGCGCGAGAAGCGGAGCAGCGGCAGCGGCGGGAGGAGCAGATTGGGCAGCAGCGAAGAGAGCGCGACGTGCGGGCGAGGGCGCGGGCCGAACTGTCGTCTGCTCCACCGCCGCAGCAACGCGAGCCGTTGTACAAGAGGCGGGAAAGGGAGGCGGCGCAGGCACCGCAGCACGTCGCCCCCGAAACTTATGTGGAGGAACGAACCTGGTTGGACGGGGACTGTCCTGGGCACAACGCATCTCATGCGGCCCGCAACCCTCCGCCCGCACCCGCCCTCTAGACTCGGCTATCGCGTATGCCTCTTACTAGTTCTCGCCATCCCCTCGTCTGCACTCACAGCGGCTTGCCGAGGAGCAAAAGCAACGGCGGGCAGCCATCAAGGCGCGGCAGGAGGCGCATAAGAGGATCGACTTCAGGCTGCACCGTCCACGAAATCACCCTCTGCGGTCGCTGGGCTTGAGCTAGGCCGGCACTTGTGCGCAGGTCCCTCGACCACGAGTACCGAGCGGCGCAGCGCGAGGATGCGCAGTATCGCTCGCCGCCGCCGCGGGCAGTCAATCCGCGCAAGTTCCTCGAGCTGCCGCCGGTCAACGATCAGTATTATCATGGACACTCCATGGCCAAGGCGCGAGATATAGCCGAGACCCAGACGAGATAGCCGGCTCCACTGCGACTGTGCCGAGACTGCCACAGCCACAACCGGACTGCGTCCTCGATGTCACAAACGATGCTCAACTCGTGAGCAGGCGCGCGATGAGTTTGTCAGCGCGCGCAATGGGCGGCTCGCGGCTCGCGAGGAGGCGACTCGGCGTCGTCAGGCGCAGCCGTTGGATCACTCTCCGCCTCACGGTTGAGATGCTTTGGGGCCTCTTCATTCCTCGTTACATTAGCAGGCGGCGGTCAAGTACTCGCGCCTCGTAACCGAGCTGGTGGTGCCGCCGGTGATGCGTGTCAGATGTCCTCTTGACCACCAGCCAATTCTCACAAGCAAGGGCTCATTCACGCATGATACGCCACTCCTTGACGGCGTTCACCTCGTCCCCAACAGGGCCGGAGGCGCGCGTCGATGAGGCGCGACCCGAGCAAGGTTGGATAGCACTATGACGGCCTATCGCCTTGTGTGCCCCATTTTGTTACGCGTCATCGATGTCCTCACAGGACGCAAACCGGGACGGTGCGCTCGCTTCCGCCGCCGACACGCGCGCCGGCCTCTGGGCAGCCAGCGGGCGGCGGCGAGAGCGGGAGGCGCGCGGATTGAACTCCTCGGCGGCAGCGGCAGTGTTGCGAAGGCTCTGGGCAACGGGACAGCGTCTGTTCACCACTCCTGGCTGTTCAATGTAGGCGCCTGGCCGGCTGAACGAGCATCAAATCAAGGAGCTGAGCTGCAGAGCCACAGCACTCAACAAGCAGGCGTTTGGCACACCACGATGCGACCGAGATGGCCTCCTGAACCACTGACAGCGAGCGCCTCTCCGGCACAGCTCACGGCCAACGACGCTCCTCGATTGTCGGCCCGCAGGCGCGGCAGATCGAGGACGAGCTACACGACCTGCCCGCAATGGAGGCGAGACACGCCGATTAGATGTACTGTAGTCCTAGACGTAGCCTGACAATAGCCAAGGCTTATCATAGATGCGGCTCAGATTACCAATCCGCGGTCGACCCCGAGGCAAGCTCCCCCCCTCCCAACACTGCAGGCGGACTGGCAAGGCTTGTACCGCTCGAAAGCGATGCTCGCCAACACGTACATCGACGCGATTCGTGTCAAGGTCGAGTTGCTGGAGGCTGTTCGGGCGGGTGCGTGAAGGCGATTTGTTGGCGCGGGAGGGAGTTTGAGGTGGGATTACGCGTTTTTGTGTGCCAGGAATCTTGCGGTGCAGCTTTTGCGGGCAAAATAGAAATTTTATTTGCTTATGCGTGGCAATCGGTCCGAGAAGAGATTTGACACGACGGTAGAACTCTCTAGTACAGGTAGACGCCATAGGCGGAGGCGACGCAGAAGAGGGAGTCATTACGGTAAGAGTCTTCGGCGAAGGCGTCAGTGTTGTGGTCCCACAAGCATCGGCCTGCAAACCTACCGCCAAGCGACTCGCAGCTCTCAGTCGCCGTGTGCCCGGCGTGTTCCTGCGCTGGCATACTGGAGGCAAGGGCAGAATGGCACACCGAATCCCCTCGCCCCGCTGCTCTCCGATGAGGACCTGCACCACAAACTTGTAGCGCGGTAGGTCAAACTCTGCCTTGAGCCTGCAGGGGCGCCGGGCGTGTGCTCGCGAGGTTCCTCCCGCGGATGGCGATCCTTCTTGCTCGCTATTCTCGCTCGTGGCCGAGTCGAGCCTCTCGGCTACCCTTGCCTGCTCTTAATCTCGTCCGATATCTCCTTTGACCACTGCGCCGCGCCATCCGCCGAGTAGCTCTTGTCTGCGAGACGCTCGGAAAGGACCGAGCCGAGGAGGACCTGGTCGCAGGCAACGAATGGGCGAGGGTTCTCTCGCGAAAAGGGCACAGTGCTCAAGCACGGTATAGCTCGAGGAGCCGGCCGGTGTAAGAGCTGTACAGGCACGTGCCCAGCGTCTTTGGCGCACCTTGACCGCCGGAGCCTTAAAGCGCTCATTGAAGGATGGCCGCAGTTGGTGCGTGCTGCCCTCCTCTGTCATATCCTCCGAACGGCAACCTGCGCGGCCGCCTCGCACGGCCGGGCGCGGCGATCTGTTTTATCGTTACGGGAGAGCGTTCACGCCTCGCGTACACACACACGCCTCTCGAGCCTCGCATGGATCAACCCTCGCAGGGACTTCCAGGAACAGGCACGTGGATGCTACGTTCCTCTTGGAGGTCCTGTTCTCGTGGTGCCTCTTGGAGTTTCGTTACTCGCCGCGTAGATCGGTGAGCAGGGGAAAGTCGTGATTTCTTGTTGGCTTCAAAAAATATCCTCTCTCTCTCTCTCTAGATCGGGGTCCGCGTTCGAGGCCAACGCCGCCCTTTCGGCGGCATGCAGTGATGAAAAGAAGCTCCAAGCTGGCTCAGGGCACAGGGCCGCCGCCGTGGCGCACGCGTGGTCGTGCCTCGTGGAGCGTGTTGTGCTTGTCGTGTCCGGCCCGGGGCGCTCGAAAGGGGGGCCCCCCCCCCCCCCCCGCCCCCGCGCCCCCCCGCGGGCCTCCGTGTCCCTTGACGGCTTTGTGTGAACACAGATCACAGTATTGCCATGCCTTTTCCACTGAGGCCGCACGCCCCGTCAAGGCCGCGGCACGCACACCCGATACGGCTCTAGATTACACTTGGAATCCCTGCGGTCCTTCACGCAGCTCACAGCTCACAGCTCACGTTACAAACACCTTGGGGAGAGGCCGGCGGCACTCACTCACTCTGTCCTCCTCCCTCTCTGCCCGCTCGCCCCCTGCCAGGCTCCACTTGACACGCTCACAGTCCTCCCTACCCGCCCTACCCTTGTCAGCCGCCCCCCTCCCGGTTCGGGAGGAGGGCCTCTGCATGCCGGCTAGCCTGCCCCGGCGGCGCGGGCGCATCGAGCCGCAGCAGGCCGAGCTGCAGCGCCCTCCGCACCAGCTCCGTCCGGTTCGAGGAGGAGGTCTTGTCGAGCAGCCGACGCACGTACTTCTCCACGTGCGACTTCGAGACGCCCAGCCGCACCGCAATCTCTTTGTTCAGCATCCCCTCCCCAACCAGCTCGAGCACTGTCCGCTCGCGGTTCGTCAGGCGCGGCGCCGCCTCCGCCTCCGCCTCCGCCGCCCCCTGCCCCCCGGGCACATGCAGCACCAGCGCGCCTCTATCGCCGCCGCCGCCGCCTCCCGCCGCCGCCGCCGCCGCCGCCTCGATCAGCCGCGGCGGCGAGGTTATGGCCACCCCGCCGCCCGGTTGGCTGCCGACTGCCTGCTGCTGCTGCTGCTGAAGGAGGAGGAGCTGGAGGAGCTGCTTGGTGGCGGACACGTCCTCGGAGAGGGAGGCGAGCTCCTCCCTCGTGGTCGCTGCGCGAGAGAGCATCGCGTTGGCGAGCAGCGCGTTGCAGCAAGCGAGGAGCTCCTCGGGGTCGAAGGGCTTTGTGAGGTACGCCGACGCGCCGGCGCTGTAGCCCGCGATGCGGTCCGCCGCGAGCCCGCGCGCCGTGAGCAGCAGCACCGGCACCCCGCACAGCGCCGGCTCAGAGCGGACCCGCCGCAGGAGGCCGATCCCGTCCAGCCCCTGCATCATCACGTCGGTGATGATGAGGTCGGGCCGCGTCGACGGCGTGGCGCGGCGCAGCGCGCGCAGCGCCACGCCCGCGTCCGCGTACGCCTCGCACTCGAACCCGTTGTCCGCGAGGTACTTGTGCAGCGCCGAGCGCATGCCGTCGTTGTCCTCGACGAGGAGGACGCGCGAGCCGGCGGCGTGAGCGAGGGCCGCCGCGGGCGGCGCGCGACGCGCGGCTGGAGCGGCGAGCAGCGTGATCGCCGCGCTGCCGAGGAGCCGCATATCGCTGGCTGGGTCCGTGCCCGCGCGGCGGCGGCAAGGCAAAAAAGAATTCTTAAGATACAAGCCTCTCTCACAGCACACTGGCACGACAAGGGCGCAGACTGGCGCGGACTGGCACACACACAGGCTCACCACCGGAGCCGCCTAAGCGACTCCGTTAAGAACGGCAATGCACTCCGCACCATGCACAATGCCGCTCTCCCCGCACGCTAGCTCGTTCACCGTCTGCCACGCTACGGCGGTGTGGAGGACGACAGACAAGCGCTGCATCTGCAGCCCGTGCCAGTTCTTGGTGGTCCATGTGACCTCGTCCAGGTGCTGAGCGTGTGAAAGTTTGTTGCTCAGCTGGTTCGCCGCCTCCCTCAGGGTGCTGCGAACCTCCTTTCCAAAGCCTCCGAAAGCCTCAAAATCAAACAAACGTAGATCGCAATCCTGCTGCCGCGCAAAGGGGTAATCGCCAGGCTGCTCCTTGAGCTTTCCCTTGGGGGCATCCTCCTCCTCCCCCTCCTCCCCCTCCTCCTCGGCCTCCTCCTCCTCCCCCGCCACCGCCGCTGCCGTCGCTTCCGACGGAGACCACTTGCCGCGCCCTTTGACCAACTTGAGCAGCCCGGTCTCCGTGTTGCCAAAGCGCACATAGGCCCCCTTCCAGCCGAGCCGAATTTCACCCTCTCCATCCTTGCCCTTGCTGTTGCTCGCGAGCGAACTCGTAAGCTTCAGATCGGCAACAAGGCGCCTGTGCCCCCTGCCGATGTTTGCCGCCGCCACGTCAGGTTGTTTTGGATTACTGTAACTGAGGTGTGCAGTCGGCTCCATCTCGATGATCATGCCCCACGCCGAGCGGAGGCATTTGACCAAACGTTTGAGTAGAAATTTGTGTCTTGTAGCATGCTTTGACCGAGGGTTAACCATCGCGGCGTCGCCAAGGACGTCGTGTAGCTGGCCGCTGGGTGCCCTCTTGCCTGCCTCCACCGCCTGGCAGGCGACATCAAGGGGGAGCCCAAGGCGGCGCTGGACGGTGACGCGCATCGCCCAGGACTCCATCTTCATATCATCACGCATGGGGATGGCGTTAAAAGAAGAAAATTTTGCCGCATGCGACGTTTCGGAAAAGCATGCGCGACGCTGCCTCTTTGCGCCACTCGCTCGCGGCGGCGGGAGACATGGCCGCCGATGCGGCTCGCACTCGCTCGGCGGGCCTCCGTCCCACAGCCGCTCGGGCGTGCCAGTGGTCGGCCTGGCGCTGCGCTGCTCGCACCCTCGCACGCTGCACTGCACAAAGCTGGACAACAAGGGGATGGACGGGCACGTGGAACGTCAATTCATGTTCGAACGGCCTCCGGGATTCAAACAAAAAATAGCCGGGGCCCTCTCGCAACCCCTCCGACCCCTGGGACCCGTGGGCGTCGAAGAGGCGCTCTCGGGGGGCCGTTCTGAGTTCATGCTACCACGAAGCACACTGTGCTGCGTCGAAGCACCGGGCCCGAGTCCGAGGCCTCTCAGAATGCAACAGTTGTTTCGTTTGAGCGCAAAATACATGCGCGGAAGTGTAGGACTAGTAAACGAATAGACGTTTCTTGAGTGCACTTGTGCAACGGCGAGACCGAGACGGCCTCTGTTTCATTGTACAACCAGGTGAAGAACAGCCAGGCTCGGACTGGACACCAACGCGGTATGGGTGGACGCGGGAGAGATGATTAGGCAGGTTAGGTAGAAAGGTGAAGAACAGTCGGGCTCGGACTGGACACCAACGCGGCATGGGTGGACACGAACTCAATACCCAACCAATCACAGAGCAAAATCCACTGTTTGTGTGTACACGACCTGTATGGCGCCTGGGCCCCGCCGCTGCTGGCTGGCGTGTGCGTTTGCGGCCGCTCTGCTCTGCGCGCCGGCCGCCGCGTCGAGCCTGCCCGGGCTGCGCGTCCGCCGCGACGCCTCGCCAGCTCCGCGGCCGAAGCGGCGCGGTGCAACTGCGCCCGCGCCCTCGCCTCCCGCAGATGCGCTGCTCACTGCGGCGTCCGCGGCGGCGGCATCTGCCGCTGCGGCGGCGGCGTCTGCTGCTGCGGCTGCCGCGGCGGCAACGTCTGCGACAACGACGGCCGCGGCGGCGCACGCGCGCCGCATCAGCCGTCAGGCGGCGGAGCGAGCGCGGCAAGCGAGCCTGCGCGTGGCGGAGCTGCTTCGTACGCTGCACCCTGCCGCCTGGCTGGTGGTGGGGACCGCGCTCGTGCAGCACCGCCGCAGCCGCGCGGCGAAGCGGGGCGACCTGCGCGAGATCCGTAGCCAGGTCTTGCACACGCCCCAGCCGCACTGCGCGAGCCGCTCCCGATGTTGCTTTCGACAGCGCCGCTGGGCTGCCTCTGCGGCCGCAGGTGTTTACGGACGACTTCCACATCGCCATCGTGACGACGGCGGCGCTTCCCTGGATGACGGGCACCGCCATCAACCCGCTCCTCCGCGCCGCCTACCTCTCCAAGGCTGGCCGGTGACAAGCCTAGCCCTACCCCTGCCCCTACCCTCCCTGCCCCTACCCTCCCTGCCCCTACCCTCCCTGCCCCTCGCCCTCCCTACTCTAACCCTCGCCCTCCCCCCCCCCTCCCCCTCCCACCCCTCGCCCCTCACCGCACCCAAGCCGGCGATGTCGCCCTCCCTCGCCGCAGGAGCGTGACGCTGGCCGTGCCCTGGCTGCACCCGCGAGAGCAAGCACTCGTCTTCCCCGGGAAGCTGCGCTTCGCCGACCCGCAGGCTCAAGAGCGGCACATACGACTCTGGCTCGCGGAGCGGGGAGGCGTGCGCGCGGACTTTCGGCTGCGCTTTTACCCGGCGAGCAGCCCGCCCACACAGACGAGGTAGAGATGTGGGCCGAAGTCTGGCGGAGTTGGTGAGAGATGGAGCGAATCTCTCACCCGGATCTAGCAGGCCGAGGACTAGCCGAGCGGCGCTGTTCCTCGAGTCGTTCTCTCCCGCTCCCTTCACCGTGGCCACCTCCCTTGTGACCGCCTCGACCCACTCACCCAGTCGTTCCCTCCGCCAGGCGAGGTACGACCTCGACCGCGGCTCGATCCTCCCGCTCGGCGACGCTTCCTAGACACCTCCAAACACCTCCTAGATACTTCCTAGACACCTGAGAGATCCTCCCGCTCGGCGACGCGTCGGGCCGCCTCAACGCGCTGCCGGCGCGTGTGCGGACACGTCCGAGACGCGCCGCGCAGGCGACGTGACGGGCTGCTAGACACTTCCTAGACACTTCCTAGACACTTCCTAGACACCCCGCCGCGCAGGCGACGTGACGGGCTGCTTCGAGGCGGGAGAGTGCGACGTCTGTGTCCTCGAGGAGCCCGAGCACCTCAACTGGTACCACTCGGGCGCCAACTGGCGGCACCGCTTCAAGCTGGTGATTGGAGTGGTGCACACAAACTACCTCTACTACGCGAGGATGTACGCCGGCGCAGCCACCGCCGCCGTGCTCAAGCGGCTCAACGAGTGGATGTGCGGAGCGTACTGCGACCGGGTCATCAAGCTGTCTGGCACGATCCAGCCCCTTCCGCGCGCGGTGGTTTGCAACGTGCATGGCGTGCGGTCCGAGTTCCTCGAGATTGGACGCCGCGCTGCGAGGTCGCACTTCCCGCCGCGCCGCGCCGGCGCCTACTTCCTGGGAAAGGTGCTGTGGGCAAAGGGGCACCGGCTGCTGATCGACTACCTCGCGCTGCAGCAGTCTCTCGGCCAGCCGCCGACGCACGTCGACGTGTACGGGGGCGGCGAGGATTTGGCCGAGGTGGAGGTGGAGGCGGCGGCGCGGGAGCTGAGGCGCCTCCTACTTGCCGCCGCCCGACGAGGGCAGAGGAGAGGCCGTCGGGGAGAGAGGGAGGGCGCCGCCGTAGGCTCTCCTTCTTCCCGCCCACCGACCACTCTGGCGCCACGCTGCGGCGGTACAAGGTCCGAGGCCGAGCCCTTGCGGTGTGCGAGGCGGTGCGAGCGGCGTCTCTTCACAGTTGCAGCTGTGAGCCAGGTCTTTATCAACCCGTCCCAGTCGGAGGTGCTCTCGACCACCACGGCGGAGGTACGACTCGGCGGCGGGCGGCTTGCGCCGAGGCGGCTCGGCCGCCTCTTCACACCGCCGGCCGTGAGCAGGCGCTGGCGATGGGCAAGTTCGTGGTCGTGCAGCGCCACCCGTCCAACGATTTCTTTATGCAGTTCCGGAACACGCTCCCCTACGACACGCCCGAGGAGTTTCTGCTGCAGGCGGCCACGAACCTTCTAGGAGCCTTCTTGGAACCTTCTTGGAACCTTCTAGGAGTTTCTGCAGCAGCTGCAGGCGGCGCTCGACTCGGCGCCGGGGAGGAGTCTAGCTCGGAGGAAGGCGCGAGGGCGTCCTCTCGTCACTCCTCGCCTGCTATGAACAGGAGCCCGAGCCGCTCAGCGCAGAGGAGCGGCGCGCCCTCTCGTGGGAAGGCGCGGCCAGGTCCGCGGACCTGATTGATCATCGACGGGCCGGCTCAGTGCGCCCCCTCTCCTGTGAAGGCGCGACCGACCGCTTCCTCGAGGCTGTGAGCAATTGCACGCTGTCCGACGTGCTTCCGCGGCTCTGAGGCGATACCGCGACGTCTGAGGGCGGCGCCTCTTCACACCTCCCGCTGTGAACAGGTGCTCCCCACCCTCGGCGACCACGCGACCCGCTGGGTGCACGCCACAGTCCAAAAGGGCGGCCCGGTCGGCGACCGGCTGAGGCAGGTCCAGGACACGTCCAGGACATGTCCGAGACACGTCCCGTAGGCGGCCCGGTCGGCGACCGGCTGCGGCGCGCGTCGGGCGCGGGGCCGGTCTGGAAGCAGAGCTGGCTCGCGCAGGAGAGTAGCTGCAGCGGAGCGGTAGTAGCAGTAGCACAGCAGTGGCCGGTGGGGAAGGCAACATACACAACAGGAGATGGATCGGGTCCCGTTGCATCGGTAGGAGAAGTGGCGCGCCGCCCCGCCTACGGAGATCGTCGAAGCGAGCATCCTCGCCACCCCGCCGGGCATGGCGCCGGTCCGCGCCTCCGCTGCGCCGCCCCGCAGATGAAGGCCCACTCGAAGCGCGAGGCGGTGCCGCGGCGGGGCGGTGCCGTGGCGGTGCCGTGCGCACAATTCTTGCTACACGACCGCCGCGTTTGTGAGCCCCAGTCTACTGTACATTTAGAGATTGGCGAGGAGGAGTCGTGCTGCTCATGTGGCTCTGTGCCAAGACGCAAGAGTTTGTGGGTGATGATACGGCTCTATGTGGAGTATCGGTCGAAACGGGGCGGCATTACCAAATCATCAGAGTTCAGACATTACGTGTGCACGGGACCTGTTCCTTTTTACCCATCTCCTAGTAGAGGTGTCCGTTTTATTTATTTATTTACGTGTGCACGGGTTGGTTGATGGTGTTACATCGATCTGGCATCTGCGCAGTCCGCAGAGCGAGCCGTAGTACGAGTAAAGCTGCGAGGCGCGAGGCTCCGAACCGCTCGTTGCAATCCGTTAGCAATCACCTCTCCTCCCCCCAAGCAGATAGGTCGAACATCAGGTCGATGGCCTTGGCCGCCTCGTTACGCGCCTCTCTCCCTCGCGCGCACTCCTCCGCAGACCGCGCCGGCAAGACCGGCGTGAACCGCGCGCCGCTAACCGCCTGAGCGGTCTGTTTCTCACACCACTCACCATGCGGCGCCGCCACCTGCCTCCTGCGCAGAGCCTCCCACGGCACTCCGCGGAAGAAGGGGCACGCGCGGAGGGCGCCCACGCCTCCAGTGCCAGCGCCGAGCCTCTCTGATGGCTCTAGTTTGAGCAGCGCATCGACGAGGGGCGCGCCGGGCCCGAGGCGGCAGGCGAATTCGCGCTGGAAGCGCCGCGCGAATGTGGCGGTGGCGATGTTGCGGTATAGAGCAGCCTCGTCGTCGTCTTCGGCGAAGGGAGTGTGACCGGTGAGGCAATCGCAGGCCAGGACGCCCATCGCCCACCAATCGACCTCTGCCCCGTGCCCCGTCTCCGCCACCATCTCCGGTGCCATGAAGAGCGGGGTTCCCACGCGCGTGTACGAGCGGGAGGCATTGGCCGAAGAGTCCACAAAAGCGATGAGGCCAAAGTCTGCCAGCACCGGCCAGCCGCTGGAGCCGAGCAAGACGTTCTCAGGTTTTAGGTCTCGATACATTACACCTATGAGCCGCGGATAAATCTCGTTCTCGGCTGCGTCTACTTAGAAGTACCGCTTGTGCTTTGGATCGAGAGCACCGAGCACGTGCAGTAACTCAAGGCCGAGAGCAATGTTTGCGAGGTAGAAGCGCGCGGAGTTCTCGGTCAGCGGGCCGTGTGCGGCAAGCAGGTTGGCAAGATTGCCGCCAAGATACGCTCGCATCACGAGGTAAAGGCAGGAGGCGTCATGTGCCGAGCAGATGAGCTGGAACGGCGAGGGAGTGGCGAGGTGGCACGATGAGTAAGTGGCGAGGAGGGCAGAATCGGGTGAGGGGTGTCGCGGGTGCCTGCGTCGCTGACGCGAGCTCACTCAAGCCCCAAGCCCGACGGAGCAGTTGTAGTACTTGCCTCTCCCTCTCCAGCTGCTCGAAGGAGCGGCGTTCGCATGCGCGGCGCACCTTGGACTTGATCACCGTCTTGACGGCCAGCATCTCACCCGTCGGCCGGTGCCGCGCGAGTCGGACCACACCGAATCTGTGACACACAAGGAACGGGTTGGCTGGTGGCGTATAATGCTCTGCAAGGCGGCTTCGCACCCTCCCTCCCCAAGTTTCGGGCCAATCTCCAGGTCGTCAAAGTCATAGTTGGCCGTGCCACTCTCCCGTCTGCCCTCGCTCCCGACAAGGGCTTGGAACATGAGTTGGTATGCATCAGTTGGTTCCGAGCCTCGGTAGCGGAGCGTGTCTACCGCCGTGCGGTGCACATCTGCCCGCGCCAGCCGTATCCTCTTCAGAGCCTTCAGGCACTCATCTGCCAGCATGATGGGGCACTTGGAGCGCGGCCAGAAGGTCCTATGGCCGATTGAACGGGGGGACGCACGTTCCATGGCCATTGAAAAATTTCTTTTTGAGCTAGCATATTACAGAAATCGCATGTCATCCCCGCGACGGAAGGCGCGAAAATCGACACGCAACACAGATCACAGTCGGAGGACGCCATCGTCGCCTAGACTCCCTTGCGTCACTACGTGCCTCCCCGTGTTTGCCCCCTTTGTGCCGCGTCCCGAGCCCCCGAGTTCATTTTACAACGCAACACACACACACCCCACGCCACAGCACACAACACAGAAACACGTGCTCGTCTTTGTTTATAAAATGAACTCGGGGGCACAGGACTCGTCTTTTCTCGTCTTTTCTCCTGTCATAGAAACGACAGAGATTCTTGAGCTCATAAAATTCTTTTTCCCTTCGAGACTGTAGACGTTTCGCCGCGCCGCTGCCCCCCCCCCTTCCTCATATGTCATCCCCGCGACGGTCGCCGGCGCGCAAGGGACTGGGCGGCTTCTCGCGGTCCTTGGGTGGGAGTAGCAAGGGCGGCTGGGGCCATCAATCGTGGCTGGAAGTCGATCCCTCCGCCGTTCCTTCACCCATCGCCGCGGCCGCCTCGCCTGCTGCAATGCCACGGGCGATGCAGCCTCTCAGGGTGGAGCCACCAGCGGAGTGGAACACGCCTTGCCACGTGCAGCCGCTGGAGTCGACCAACACCAACGTCGCAGCGCGTGAGGCGATGTCTCGTCTCGCGCGGCGTCCTTTGGTTGGTGCGCCGACCTCGCCTCACAAGGCGGAGAGGGTGAGGGATCACGGTATGCTGGAGGCGGCTCGAGTAGCTGCTGGAGACGCTTGCCCTTGGCCTCAACTGCGGAGGGCGTGAGATACACTGCAACCCGCTGTATGCCCCTGGCTACGCACCCCAATCACGAACGCGAGGCCATGTGAGGCTTCAAGGTGCCCATGAGCCAACCACTCTGCCCTCCCTTCTTCACAGGCCGCGTGCCGGAGAGCGGGTCGGGCTTCCAACGCGGGCGTGCACGCGTACAACCGCGGTGTCCTCTACGAAAACATGGGCGCGCACGACGACGCGCTCGCTTGCTACAGAGAATGCCTCCGCATTGCCCTAGAAAGCAACGATGCGACCTCCGAGGCGCTGGCTTGCAACGCGATCGGAGTCAGCCTGCAGACACGGGCGGTTGCGGGTCTATCGGCGGCATCGCACGATGCAGGAGAGCTAGAGGGCACCGCGACGCAGCTTACGGAAGAGGACGAGTCGCTGTTGCGCGAGGCGCTGTCGTATCATGAGCAGCACGCGCAGGCGCTGGTGCACCCTCCGGCAGCAATGCAACTGTCACAACCCCTTCTCTGAGTTAGTGCAAGTCTCTGCCTACCCTTCTCTCGTGTCCCAGTCAGTGGGGTACGAACAGGTGGCGGACGCGCCAGGGCGTTTCATTGCGCACAGCAACATCGGCAAAAGGCCTGACCCATCGGCGACTGTTGTGAACCGCGCCTCAGAAACCTGCCGTAAATAGGCATCGCACATCAAGCCCTTGGTGATGCGGCAGCGGCCGCTGAGGAACACGAGGCGGCCCTGCGCTGCGCGGTGCAGATGTCGAGCCTCGCAGGCGAGCCTCTAAAGCTTTGGTACTGGGCAGCAGCTGCGATCCTTTCACGCCTCAAAATGTGAGTAGGTGAGTCGCTCGCGTGCGCGCACCTCGGCACCGTCAAGGCGAGCGACGACGCACCGACGGCCAAGGCGTGCACGGAGCGGCGGCTCCTCCTCTCGCGCACGTTGGGGGATGCCGCTGGCAAGGCGGCTTCGTACATTGATGCGACGAGAGATAGGAGAGGTAGAGGGAGAGGAGGGAGTGGCAGAGGCAGTTGGATGGACGTAGCAAGGAGAGGGAAGGGGCGGTGGCAGCCTGATGCCGGCTGCCTCGGCTCAGCGTCTCTTCCCGTGACGTGGCCACGACGCATCCTGTCGCGCCCTTGCTGCAGGCAGACGCGTATCTGCAGCTTGGCCTTATCGCACAGGAGGCGAGGGAGTGGGCCGAGGCGCGCGCCGTCCGATCCTGCGCTCCGTTGCCAGGGGGTTATTCCATCGATGCGTCCTTTCGTGCGGGTGTATAGGCGCGGGAGGCGTTTGAGCACGCGATGCGCGAGGCGGAGCTGAGCGGCGACCAGCGCGTGCGCGAGCTCGCGCGTTGCTCTGTCGGGATCGCCGAGGGAAGCCTTCGGTTCGAGGGGATGCTCGCCGCGGCGGCGGAGGGCGCGGGGCGCGAGGGTGATGTGGCGTGATAGCGGGCCGCAATCCCATGGCGGGGTTTGATGAGGACGGTCGAAACTACTCGCCCGTATTTTGAAGGTGGAGCTGTGGCGTTGTCGTGTCAGCTCGATGATTGCGACAAACATGCCGTACAACTGTAACGTAAGGTTCGTATTAGGATTTAGGTAAGGGGGCTGGTGGGCTGGCGAGGTACTCCCACACGCCTCTCGGGGTTTTTGTCCTGGCCGAGTCAACCCGAGATGCTGGGGCGAGCCTTGGCGAGCAGCGTTCTCAGCTGTTCCCACACAGCAGGCTTGGAGTGTACCACGCCACTCGCCAGGGTAAGGGTAAGGACTCTAGAAGCTAAACGCGTCTCCACACACACAAAAATGCGACGGTGTATCAGTCGCCTTAAATGCCACCGTTGCAATATCCCCGTCGCAAAAAAATGTGGCGAGCCAAGGCCAAGGGGGGGGGGCGACCCTCGCTCGCTCGCTCGCCTCTCCACGCCCGGGAGACGGGCACGCCAGGGGACACAGGTGGAGGCAGGAGCCCGCCGCCAATCGCAATCAAGAATCAAAAAGTGCATACGTGATACGATCTTCGGGGTCAGTCTGACTCCGTCGTCACAGTACGTGTTCGACGTGTATTGAAATAGAGATAAGAGAAAGGGGAGTCGCAGATGGCTACACATTATGGCCTCGGGTCGCGCACGCCAGGGAGCAGCTCGGGGAGCACTGCGCCCTCCGGTGAGAAGAGCGCGCCCACCTCGACGCCGCTGCTAAAGTCGAGTAGCTTCGCGTCGGCGCCCTCAGCGTAAAAGTCCTCGGCCTGCGTCTCCGGCGTGTAGGTGATGACGCAACGCATGTTGGCGGCCTTGGCGGCGCGGAGGCCAACGATCGAGTCCTCAACAACGACGCAATCGGCGCTGGAGAGGCCGAGCCGTTGGGCGGCCACGTTGTAGATCTCCGGGTGCGGCTTCTTGCGGCTGACGTCGTCGCCGGCGATGACCACGTCCAGCCTGGCGAGCCGCTCCTGGCCGACCACCGCATCCACAACCTAGCAAAGCCGACATCTCACAGAGACGCCGCCCGAGATGCGCCCGAGATGCGCCCGAGTTGCGGCCGGGATGCGGTCGAGGCGGGATTCGAGCAACCTTCTCGAAGCCGCCGCGAGTGGAGGCAGAGCAGATGCCGACGGCAATGCCTGGCGCGGCGATCGCGCTGTCCATCAGCGCGAGCACGCCGGGCCGCGGGCCGGCCTAGAAGAATGGGAGGTGGCTGAAGAAGGAGGCTGAGCCGTGAGGCTCGCCGGCGCTGCGGGACCGCCTTTGTCACCAGCTGCTTGTAGCACTCCGTCTTGAAGTCTTGCAGCTCATCGACGAGCGCCATTCCGGCGGCCTCGTCCGCAGGCACGGCGCCGCCTCGCGCCGTCGGAGCCGGCCACACCTCCGAGGCACACGAGATTACACGAGATTACACGAGATTACCCGAGGTTACCCGAGATTGCCGAGGAGCCGGCCACACCCTCCGAGGCACAGACAGGCGGTGTCGAACACTCGTCACGACTGAGTCGTCGTAACGTGTGTCCCGGTGATCAAGACTCACAATGACCATTCATCCCTCACCTTGGCCGTGTCCTGGTGCGTCCTCGCGCCCTCCGGCGCACCGAGGCCGGTGAAGTGGTCTGCGCAGGAGGAGAGCGAGGGTGAGGCGCCAGGAAGGTGGAGGCTTCTCCGCCGTCCGGGCGCGCGGCGGGACGCACATCGCATCTTGGGCTTGCCGCCGCCCACCGTGTTGGCGAGGAAGCTGTAGTACTCTTTGGACCAGACCACAGGCGCGCCGGCGATCTGCAGGCCAAACTCCTCAAAGGCCATGTTGTATGCGACGCGGTGCAGCTCCTCGGTCTCGACGAGGACGCCGTCGCAGTCGAACAGCAGCGCCGCGGACGGTGGCGGCGACGGCGGCGGTGGTGAGCCCTCGTCGAGGTTCACTCCCCACACGAAGCCGTCCGGCGGTGAGATCTCAAGCGTCATCGACGCGAGGCCGGCGCGGCGCGAGGCGAGGCGACGCGGCGGGAGCAGAAGGAGCGCGTCCGCGGTGCAGAGCGCGAGCAGGAGACGCAGCATAGCGTCGTCCGGAGCCGAGGCGGCTCGCAGCCGCATGGAATTTTTTTTGTGGTACCCCAACGTTGTATTTCTTTTTTACGCTTCTCTTGCCATGGAAGAGCCCTGGCCGGTAGAGCTGCCGGTAGAGCTGGCTGTCGTCCACCCGTCCTCGCCCTAGGGAGAATATCGGCCTGCCATGCAAGGAGTCCGCGAGCTGCTGCAGTCTCTGGACGAAGCGGCAGCGGAGAGCGACCGGCGACGGCACGAGTGCTACGAGAGCGTCCTCTCCTCTCTGCACTGTGCACGGCGAGGCACCGTCACGCCTCTCCGCCACCACCTCCATCCTCACTCGGCTGCCGCACCACTGCACTCCACCTTCGACACCGCCTCCACCGCCTCTTCCTCCGACTCCGAGGAGCCAGACTCGGCAACTTCCCCGGACGCTCTCAGCAACTGCCGCCGAAGGCACGAGCGGAGGCGCCAGCAGATCGCGGCCAGCTTGGTGCCCCACTCCCCGCCCCCGTCCGCTCCTCCGACGTCGCCGCCGCCGCCGCCGCGGCCGCCGCCGCCGCCGCGGCCGCCGCCGCCGCCGCCGCCGCCGCCGCCGCCGCCGCCGCCGCCGCCGCCGCCGCCGCCACCGCCGCCTCCCGCCCTGCCGGCGCCTCCGCCTCCGCCGCCCCGCGCCTTGGCAGCCCTCCCGTCCGCCTCCTCCGCCGGCGGGCGGTGCTCGAGCCTCGGCGACGAGGTGCTGGCGGCGGCGGAACGGGTGCACGCCGCCGTGGACACGCAGCTCTATCTCGGCTGTATCTCGGCGATATCTCGGCTAGATCTCGGCTACAGGTGCACGCCGCGGTGGAGAAGGAGCGGGCGGCGTCGCTCTTTGCGCGACGCGAGTGGTGGTACAAGGCGGTGGCTGCGGAGGGGGGGCGGTGCGACGCGTGGCGCCCGGGTCAGCCGGACCTGTCCTGGACCTGTCCTCGGCACGTCCTCGGCCTGTCCTTGCAGGTACTACTGCCTGCGGCGCGGCGCGGCGCTGCAGTTCGTCGTCGGCAAGCGGATGGTGGCGGAGCGAGCGGGCAGGCCGAGGGCCACCTCTCGTCCAGTGGGTCTGACTCCATTGCTTTGATCAGGTGGCGGAGCGAGAGACGGACCGGGGGCGGGCGGGCGCGAGAGGGGCGCCGAGGAGGGCGCTAGACGGAGAGACAGAGAGGCGCCACCCCCGCCCGCGAAAGGTCTCACAGCTGATGCGCCGTCATCCCGCCACTGGCATAGGAGGGGCTTCCTCGTCCACGATTGCGCCGCGAGGGCGCTCGAGGCGGCGGCGGAGACGCGGAGGGGAAGGCTGCCGTGCAGCCTGGTCGTGCTGCGCGTGCGGGCGAGGGGCGAGTGCGCGCCGCCGGCGACAGAGTGGCCGAGTCCTCGAGTCTTGAGAATGAAGTCTTGAGTGGTCATCTATTGGTTGCAAGGCGGCGGAGTGGCCGAGCGCGAGCGGCGCCTGGCCCTTCCTTCCGCGTCATCACTGTCGCCTAATTAATAGTCTAATTCCCTATTAATTAGCTATTAATTAGGCGCCTGGGCCTTCCGCGTCATCACCGTCGCTGGTGTGGCTCTGGAGAGGCAGCTCTGGATGGAGCAGCAGCCGACGGCGGAGCGGTGGCTGCCCCTCACCCGCCCCGGCGGTGCCCAGGGCATGTAGCATGTCCGTGACTTGTCCGGGACGTGTCCCGCAGGTGGCTGCCCACCCAACCGCCAGGGCTGTGCCGCCGCTGCGCCTTTGGCGCCGCCACGTGCGTCCACGTGCGGAACCGCGGCGTGCCTCTGCGCGGAGCTGCCTCCCCTCCCCGCGGCCGGCAGCTGCCTCCTCCGACACACCAGTGCGCGGCGACGCACGCACCGACGGTGCCGAGCCGCGGGCGGAGAAGGAGTGAGGCGGCGGTGAGGGCGGCTACCGCCGGGTTGTCCACCAAATGCTTCGCATGACCCAAACAACGACTCTCTCGCTGTCCCACTTTTCCTCGTGCAGAGTACACACGCCGTTTCAAGTGAATACACCGCGGTGCGGCGATCTACGTTAAAAAAAAACTGTTCAGTTTTCAAAGGCAAAACACGACGCTCTGCGGTTGGTGCACCCCTCACACTGACACATTCCCCTCATCCCTTACCCTTGGCTGAGCACATCTACCTGCGAGCTAGTCTCTCCGCATTCTCTCCCCTAGTCATCCGCCCGCGCCGCGCGCCATCTAATGGGCGTCTAGTGCAGCCACTGACGGCACTATTCCAAAGGAGCGGTCGATGCCTCGCCTAGAGTTCGGGTGGACTTGCGCACTGCTTAGCCCTGAGGGGGGAGTGTGTGTGAGGTGGTGTAATGTCGTCCCGTTTCAGGCGGCAGGTCAGGGGATTAGCCGGGAGGATTCGGCAGCTCAGCCGGGGGCTGAGCGTCTGCAGGCAGCCTTCCGCTCGCGCCGAAATTCACAGCCCTCCCGGGCCGACGGGGTGCTCCTTGGATCGGGCCCCGCTCCCCGCTTTTCCTGTACCTGGACTGTCCGGGTCAGGAGGGTGAGAGTATTGGGTGGGCGAGGGAAGTACATCTGGCGGGTGGCGATTGAGGGACAGCAAGAGGGCTGATTGGGGGGTCAATGGGCGCGCGGGCGGCGCTTCGTGGTCCTGGGCGAGCAGGGGCAGTGGTTAGGAGTCTTGGGCCTGGAGATATGAGGATTGTCGAGATGTCGTGCGAGAGCGGTAGGTGGGGGAAGGTAGCGCGGCTGGAGAGTGGTGTCCGAGGGACAGTGATGAGTTGTCAGTTGGGGCGCGAGACGCGCGGGACAGTGTTGGAGGCGGCCAGTGAGGTAGGGTTGGCTTTGAGCAGTGCAGCGAGTGTGTGGTCAAGCGTGGGAGCGGCGCGCGAGCACCGGATTTTTTTGCTGTGCGAGTCGAGTTGGGGACAATGATGAGTTGTCAGTTGGGGCGCGAGACGCGCGGGACAGTGTTGGAGGCGGCCAGTGAGGTAGGGTTGGCTTTGAGCAGTGCAGCGAGTGTGTGGTCAAGCGTGGGAGTGGCGCGCGAGCACCGGATTTTTTTGCTGTGCGAGTCGAGTTCGTGGCCGGTGCGCGGGAAACTCGCCGAAAACCCGCGCAGCCGGCCGATTGTACGACCGAGGTCGCTGATGTACGACCGAGGTCGCAGAGCCTTGGCGACGCGACGCGCACGTCGCCAAGGAGTTCGTAAAATGTCAGAGTTTTTTTTAGCGGCGATCTACGTTTGTTATTGCGTACTAGTAGACTGTAGAGAAGTGAACGGCGCTTTTACATGTTACACACATCACACTCTCGAGGCGACGGTCGGAGCACGGTGCACGGAGGACGGAGGCGTGGCGCGTGGTGTACCCCGAGCCCCTCGCGGCATAAAGGGCTCCTGCCCGAGTCCCGGTGCAGCACGGACTAGATGCAACGCCGAGCTCTGCCGGCGCGTGGAGGGAGCTCCTCGAGGCGACTGGCCCGCCGGCTTGAAGGCGAACCTCGACGCAAGACTGCACCCGCGCAGGCTGCTCGAGCTCTGCCTCACCGCCAGCTTTGCCAGCAAAGACGCACGTGAGGAAAAGGCGGGCAGGGCGGACCGTCCCCCCCATCGCAAGGCGCAGCTCGAGCCATCCGCTGGTGCCAGCAGTAGCATCAGCAGCAGCGGCCGGCAGGCGGCGCCACTCCAGCGTCACGATGCGAAGCTCTCCGCCCACCCCACTCGCCAGCGCCGCTGTCCACTCGTCGCCATCGCTGTCGCCGATCGCCACCGTGGCAGTGTCAAGTGTCTCCCACCGCGCGGAGGAGAGAGGCGACCCGAGTAAGCGAGTCATCACCTGGCGCCTCTACGGCGTGTGCCTCGGCGCCTCGCACGTCGGGATGAATGTGGGCGAGCAGGACTCCTTCCTCGACCAGAGCTCGATCATGGGGGTCGACTACTACGGCCGCTTCTCGCTCCACGCGGCGATGCGAGTCTACCGGCGCGCGCGCGACGACTATGGCACGCCCGCCACTGGCGCCTTCCTCGGCTGGTTTGGCGCCCTCTTCGACTGGCCCGCCAACCCGGACCCGATCCGCAGCGGCGGCACCACGCGCACCAAGGCGCTCGTGTCTGGAAACCTCTACGACCCAGGCACGGCATTTGGGTGGACGGCGGCAATGCGCAAGGCCTTCCCCGACTCGGCGCTGCTCGTCTCGCAAGGCGTCGGACACATTACGGACGGCCGGCGCCGGTGGGTGGACTTCCTCGGCCGCGTGGACGGCAGGTGGGTCGACGACGTGACCGAGGATTACGCCGGCTGCCTCGAGGCGGTCACGCGCTACTGGGCGAGCGGCGAGCTCCCCGTGGACGGGCTGGTGTGCAGGGAGGGCGCACCCGTCGTGGCGGCAGAGAGGCGGACGGAGACGGAGTGAGCCGCCGCCTCTGACGTCGAAGGGGGGAGGGGGGGGGGGGGGGGCACGTGCCCGCCCCCGCGGGCGGCCGCCCGCCGGCGCCGCGCCGCCGCGCGCCGGCGCCGCCCCGCCGCCGGCGCCGCGCGGGCCGGTTTGCGGTTATTGCCGCGTTGGTGTGTGTGTATCAGTGATCCGGGGACAGGGTGCGGGTGCGTGATTTCACAATAAAACAACGTATTCTGGGCGGAGAACACGGCGGCGCGGCGGAGCGAGCGACCGCCCACTGCCACTCTGCACGAAAACGGCACCGCCTCTCTCGCGTTGCCCGCGAGGGTACTGGGCCGCGTTCTCCCCCCCGATGCACAGGGCGTCACTGCGGCAGGTCCTACTCCTCCTTCATCGGGATCGGCTTGACGAGCGGGTCTGCGGTGCGCGGGGGGGCGATGCACCCGCTCAAAGGCCACGCCGGCCGGCGGCGAGGGCAGGTGAGGCGAGGGGGGAGAGGGGAAGGGACGTGGGGCGAGCGGAGCGGGCGGCGCGCACGTAGCTGCATCATGTAGGTGATGAGCCACATGAGCCAGCAGCAGACGGTGGCCGTGATTATGAGCAGGTTGGTCAAGCCGCGGTCCTTTGAAAGCGTCTTTGAGAAGCACGAGCCGAGCAGCGCGACGGCGCCGGCGCCGGCAAAGGTGGCGGAGCCAAAGACAATTGTGTTCTGCGAAGGAGGAGGCGCGCGAGTGGGAATCGCGCTGCGCGCGCGTGCGGCCAAGCGGTTCGGAGCTGCGGCCGCCACGTCATGCGCCAAAGCGCGTGGCGCGCTGCGGGGCTCGCGGGCGCGGGCGGCTCGCGGCGCTGCGACCCGCTCTCGCGGCGCTCGCCAAAGAGGGGGCGAGGGACAGCCAGAGGCCGAGGGGAGGCGCGCACCATTGGCGCGTCGAAGGGAGGCTTGCTGCTGTGTCTTCTCCGGTTCTCGGCGCGGTGAAAAAAATTCGGCGCACCGCAGGTCCGCTCCGAGAAATGTTTGTCTTCACCCTGCCCAGCCCCCCTCCGTGTCGCGATGCGCTCCCCGCTCCCGTTCCCCTGTGTCCCTGATCGTCCTTACAAGATCCTGCTCGCGCAGGTGGGGACCCTGTCCTTCTCCCACCCCTTGTTTGGTGTGTCCGTTTTATTTATTTATTTATTGTCTTTGGCACCAACATATGTGTGTATGTAGAAAGATGAACAACAGTCAGGCTCGGACTGGACACCAACGCGGTATGGGTGGACCAACATCGGACACAGAAGAAGAATTCGCGGCGCCTCCACCCCCCGGCGAGCCGTCTTTTTACCAGGTTGCAACACCTGTTCCGCACTGTGCTGTGAATCGAGCGGCAACCAACAGCTCTCAGGACCCCCCGGTGCTGGGGTGCTGCCAGCAACCAACCAACTCACCGGCGAGCGGAGCGAGCCGAAGAGCTGGGGCCGAATTGGCGCTGTGAACGTCGTTTGAACCGATGTTTCGGCGGGCACGTCGCACCTACGTGGCCGGCCGCCAGGGCCGGCAGCAGGGCGCCCCCGCGCGGATGCCGACGAGGATCACGGTGCGCTATCTGGGCTCGGAGGTCGGCAAAAAGGTCGCGCGACCCGACACCAAGGGGGAGTTGCTCGAGCTGGCCGCCAAGAGGCTCAACTTATCTACGCCGGCCTTGCGCATCTTTGCGGAGGGCGGTGACGAGTACGATGGAGACGAAGATGTTGTCTTGATCGAGAGTGACGAGATCATCTACGTCTCGTGCGGCGAAGACTTCGGCTCGACGGCTCCGACCGGGGCGCCGTCCGCCCCGCCTGCTGCTGCTGCTCCAGCTCCAACTCCTCCTACTGCGCCTCAGCCCGCCGTCCTGCCCTCCCTCACTGGAGAGAGAGAGAGAGTTGTGTCTCACTGGTGTGTTCATTGGGGGGGACGGTCATAAACAAACACGGTACAGGATCGAGGTGTACGCTGCTGAAGCGTGCACCTACATAGTGCGGGACCTGGGGCAGCAACCAACAACCTGGATGGGGACGGGGTGCTGCTCAACCGGCGGCAACCAGCAGCGTTCACAGCAGTGTGCGGAACAGGTGTTGCAACCTGGTAATACGGCTCGCTGCCGAGCCCGCCCAGGATAACGCCAGCTCTCCCTCTCCTATGAGGAAAGAGAGCTACCCCTCGGACGAGAACGGCGCGCCGCTCGACACGCCCGAGTGGCGGAATGCAGACAGCATCCGCGACACCGCCTCCCCAAAGGACCCGCCGATCGTCGCGGCGGTGCGCCAATTGGCCTCATTCGTCTCAACCACACCCCTTGCTTGCCCGGACCGGCGGCGGCGGGATCCTCCGACTCGGGCTCTGCCCGCCCTTCCACCACAGGTGCGCGTCTGGGACACAACACCGGAGCAGCTCGAGGCTGCGCTCGCGGCGGCCGGTGCAGACTTGGCGGGCGAGGTGAACCGGCCGGACCGGTTCGGCTTCACGCCCCTGATGCTCGCAGTCAAGAGCAAGTAGCGCCCGGAAGCCGTCGCAGGGGCGGGGAGAGGGCGGGAGGCCCGAGCCGCTCTCCTCTCGCCGTAGGCAGAGCCGCGCCTCGAGCAACCAAACAAGCGGCTGCGGCGCCGCTCCCCGACCCCTCGCCGGCCGCCTGCTCGCAGGCAGCCGGGTCTGGTCGACAAGCTGCTGGAGGTGGAGGGCGTGCAGCTGGACGCGCAGAGCAAGCGCGGCTTCTCCGCCCTGATGATCGCCGCGTGGAAGGTGCGGCCGTGGGCTTGAGGACCCTTCCCGGACCCTTCCCGGACCTGTCTCGGACCCTCCTCGGCCCTCCTCGGACCCTCCTCGGCCCCTGCCTGGCCTCAGGCGGACGACGCGACGATCGACAAGCTCGTCGCCAAGGGCGACAGCCCTACTCAACTACCATTCATCACCACTTGTCAGCTCTGTTCCATGGGAGAGAGCAGCTCTGTTCCACGGGAGGGGAGCAAATCTCTCTCTCTCTCAACTAGCCTTCATCAGCCCCAGTCAGCTCTGTTCCAACGGAGAGAGCAGCTCTGTTCCACGGGAGGGGAGCAAATCTCTCTCTCTCTCTCAACTAGCCTTCATCAGCCCCAGTCAGCTCTGTTCCAACGGAGAGAGCAGCGGCTGCTCCGCCGCCAGTCGTAGCGCCAGACGCCTCAAAGCCCGACCGCTTCCCGCCCCCGCTGCCGCTCAGGCGCGGACTTGAGCTTGCGAGACGGCGGGGCGAGGAACGCGTGGGGCGTGGCGCACGACTGGCGCGCGGGCGGCGAGATTGCCCGAGATCGCACGAGATCGCACGAGATTGCAGCAGATTGACCGAGACTGCCGGGCCGGGGACTGGAGCGGCGGGCGGCGGGGCGGCAGGCGCGGGGCCGCTCGCCTCCGCGGCGCCGCGGCTGACTGCCGCTACTCACTGCCGCCGGCTCCACCCCTCCCTCTTCCTCCTGCCGTGTGGTGCAGGCACAAGGAGGGTACGTTGGATTGCCTGGGAAGGCAGGGCTTCACTTTCCCCAGCCAGGGAGGGGAGGTTCGGGTTCAAACCCCCCCCCCCCCCCCCCCCGCCCGCCCGACCCCTCCCTCCCCGCGCCCCTGAGCCAACCCCACCCGTTCCCGGCCTCCTCTCCTTGACGTCCAGGCACCTCCGTCGCCTTCCCGCCCGCGCCAAAGTGGAGGCCAGGCGAGGCGTGGGACTGACTCGTCCAACCGACTCGTCCAACTGACCCGCGGGACACTGGCCCGCGGGACTGTCGACTGACCCGCGGGACTGGCGCAGCGCAGTGCGCCCCCCCATCTCCCCGGTGTGACTGTGTTCGTGTGTCTATTTTGTCCGAACACCCGCAAGACACGCATGCCGAATAAAAGTACATTTAACTCCTCACCGGGTTGTTGCACGAGTATGTATGTAACTAGTGAGACGACTCGAGATTGGTTCGAGATTGGGGCAGAGCGAGTGGGAGACTTTTCGGCGGGCGAAATGCGGCGGTTTGGATGCGTCCCCTTTGGGACGACCTGTTGGTACGACCTGTGGGACGACCTGTGGCAGCGACCGATGCCGTCACCGGACGCGGCGGCGAGGCACACGGGCGCCGGCGTGGCGCGTCGGCAGGCCCACCACGAGCGGATGCGCGACGAGCGCGCTCGGGAAGCGGCCGCGGGCGACGCGGAGCTTCCGCCGGAGGACGACGCGGTCGAGATGGCGAGCGCCGCCCAGCTGCTGGACAGCGTGGCGGAGGTGGGCCCGAACTACACCCTGCTGCGCAGCAAGGAGACGAAGGCGAAGCGGCGGAAGCGACAGCGCGAGGATGCCAGGGCGGCGCTCGACGGCCACACTGTCCTGTCCACCGGATCGCGCCTCGAGATCTTCTGCGACAGTGAGCGGTGGTACCCTGCGACCGTCATGGCGCGGGAGGAGGACGGGGACGGACGGATCGCGCACCAGGTCGAGTACGACGGCTACCCGGATCGGCGGTGGTGGCACATGCTGGACGACGAGCGGTGGCGAGCCGTCGCAGAGCAGGCCGGCACGGGCGCAGGCGGCGCTGCCGCAGACGGGGATGGGGATGCGGCGATGGACCGCGCGGACGGCGAGCGGGGCGCCCGTATGGGACAAAAGCGTCGAAAATGTCCCAAAAAGCTATGGGACAAAAGCGTCGAAAATGTCCCAAAAAAGCGTTTCTCGAGTTTGTGGCAGCTCCGGAGCCAGCGCGGGCTGCCAGGACGCACCGCTCGCGCGTTCGGCGCACTCCCTGGCACCCAGGGGGTGCGCCTAACCGACCAGACCGAATAGGCTCGATGCCGCGCTCGCTGTGGAGCTGCCACAAACTCGCCGCCGAGCGTGCCACCGACGGCGTCCCGGCGGAGGTGGTGGAGTGTGAGACCTGAGGCTGCGGAGGTGACGCCTGAGGTACCGGTCCGTGCACAGCGACTCAGCCGGCGACCGCCACGGGCTCAGACGAGACTTGTCGACTCGTTCCAGCTCAGCTTCACCGTGGTCCTCGGGCGTCTGTCGACGTCAGGACCACCCATACAGCTCGCGGGTTTGAGGTCGCAAGAGCCAAGATGGTGGCGTTTGGACATCCCAACCATCACACAAGACAGCCTGTAGGTGATGGCGGGACGGCGCAGTGTTTGTGGCACTCGGCAGTAGGCACCCGCGGCACGGCCCCGCTGTCGGCTCTCGCGGGCTGCGGAACCGGCCCCAGAAGGGGACGGTCCGGGCGAGTGTGGCAGCTCCTGCGCTAGTATGGGCACCCTCTATTATAGCACTACTGATCCTGGTCATTAGAGCTGCCAGGGATAGCGTCAGGAGCTGGTAGGAGTCAAAGCCCCTCATATTTGAGACATCGTGTCCCATATACTCGTGCAACAACCCCACCGCCCGCGCACGCACCGCGAGAGCGAAACCAATCCAAGCGACCGCCGTGCCGCTGGCGGCGACCGCGCACCCCACCGGGCCTCTCCACCGTGTCTATCTCCCACTGGCGCGTCCATTCGTCGCGCTGGCCGCCTGCCGCAATGAGGGAGCAGGTAGCAGGGTCTGCGGCGCGGGGCGGCGGATGCTCTCGCGGCCTGCGGCGCCTAGATTCAACCTCGACGACTGTGAGTGGCTCTCACGCTGCCTCTCTTAGAGGTCGGTGGCGCGCCCCAGCTGCGCAGCCAGGCTGGCCATCCGCGCTTGAGCCACCGCAGGAGCGCGCCGTCAGCCTGTTCGCACCACAGCGGTGTGAACAGCTGCTTCACAGCCGTGGCTCACCGGCGTGCCCGCCCCCCTCTCCGCCTCCGCGTCCGACGCGCCGGTGGTGGCCGAGGTGAGGTCAGACTCACATCCCTTCTCGCCGACTCGCGCCGACTCGGGCGGCGGCGGCGTTGGCGGCGGAGGGGGCGCTCCACCCGCCGAGGAGCGCCAGTTCAGCTCCGACGTCTCGATCGCCACGCTGCTGCCTCGGGACGACGCCGCAGACGTCCTCGCCGAGTCGGCGGGCAGAGCGGCGGCGGCGGAGTGGGCGGCGAGCTGGGCTCTGGACTCGTCGACCTGCTGCCGGAGGATGGGCATCGCGCGCTGCAGGAAGGCGACATGCAGCCGCGCGGTGCGGCCCTCTGCTGCGCCCTCGGCAGGCAGATCGTCGAGGCAGGCCTCGACGACGGAGGCGAGGGCCGCGACGCAGCCGATCATCTGAGCCTGGCCCTGCCGCAAGCGGGCGTTCTCCGCACGCAGGCGCTCCAGTTCCATCCGAGAAGAGACGGACTGTCGGCCGCCGTGACTGGGTTTTGGTCTCTTTTTTTTATTTTTTTTTTTGAGAGCGCCTTCGTTGTTAATAGTACAAACCCAATGGTCCTCTGCGAGCGGTCCTTCGTTGCAGTCGCACACACGCACACGCCACGCCGCACCGCGCGCCCGCCCACCGCCCCGCCCAGGCGGGAAAGAGGTGGGGAGATGGGACAGCGAAGGAGGAGCACGAGCACGTATGGGAGGGTTCAGTAATGCGCCACGCTGCCCGGCGTCTCTCACTTTCCGGGACAGCCCCGCCCTTGTGAGGCAGGAAAGTGACGGCTACCCCGTACGCGCCTGCCGCTCTACTCGTCGCCGACCGCCCATTCTCCCCTCCTCGTTCCCCCCTCGAATGCTCCGGACCCCGACAAGCCGCCCGACGTTGGGCCTCTGCCCCGCACGCCCCCGCCCCTCTGCCCCTCACACACACCCCGGCCCGACATGCACATACATGGTCATGCTGGAGACGTCGGAAAATGACAAGTGTCTTAGCAATGGGCAAGATGTCGACACGGAATGTCCAACAACAATGGTTCAGAACTTCCTGAAGGCAGGAGATCCGGATTACGCTTGCCCGCCGGTGCTCCAGCCGTACCACATGGAATGCAGGAATGAGGGACCGATGCTTTATTTCGATATCAACCAGTTCAAGCGTGGCAAGAACTACCTCCTCCTCGTCTTCACCGGCGCCACGAGCCGTGCAATTTCCGGCGCCCCTGACATAGTCAAAGTGACGGGGACCATAATGAAGCCTTACTCTCCGATGCCTCCCGGGACGCCTCCCGGGACGCAAAACCCGTTCCCGCCACCGCCCTCGCCTCCGCTCCCTACTCCGCCTCCGCCGTCTCCCCCGCCGCCGGTGCCGCCGCCGCCCTCGCCGCCGCCCTCGCCGCCGCCCTCGCCGCCTGCGAACGTGCCCTCGCCGTCGCCGTCGTCGCCAGCACCGATCAGCCTGCTCGAATCTCCGTCCCCGCCGCCGCCCTCGCCCCCACCCCCGGCTCCGCCTCCGCCGTCTCCCCCGCCTCCGGTGCCGCCGCCGCCATCGCCCCCACCCCCGCCTCCGCCGTCTCCCCCACCCCCGAAGGACGGCCAATCGCCGCCGCCGCCGCCGCCGCCGCCGCCGTCGCCGCCACCGCCGCCGTCGCCGCCGCCGCCGCCGCCGCCACCGCCTTCACCGCCTCCGGCCGGAGGGATCGGCGACCCGCACCTGCACTTTGCGCACGGCGGCCGCGCAGACTTCCGCGGCCGCGCCGGCGCGTACTACTCCTTCCTGTCGGCGCCCGGCCTGGCGCTCAACGTCAAGATGGAGGAGGCGCTCTACAAGCTCCACGGCGGCAGGCTGACGGTGAACGGCACCTTCATCACGGAGGCGCTCCGCCATCGTCGCAGCCAGCCCGCGCCACAGCTCCTGCCGCAGGCGTCACTCGCGACGGCTGTAGGTTCATCTCGCCGCCCTGGTGGGCGCATGCCCTGCCGGCGCGCCCGTCGAGAAGTGCGTCGGCACAAAGCGCAAGTGGGCCAACGTCTCGTTTTGGGTGCGAGCGAGAGCCGCGGCGAAGCGGGCCGCGCTCTGCCATCTCCCACTACCTCTCCCGCCGCCTCGCATGCACGCTTGAGCGCCAGCCTCCCTTCCCACGCACAGGCCGCGGAGCTCAACGTTGCCAACTGGGGCTGGCGCATCCTCAACGGCGGCCGCCGTGCCACGCATCCGGGGGTCGGAGCAGCCTGCGCGACCGCGGCACCTGGCTGGGAATAGGCACCTGCGGCGGCCACCCGTTCAAGCTTGGCAAGGGGGGATACCGCACGTGAGACCGGCCGCACGCGGCGCGGGCGAGCTTCCGAGGGCGCGCTGACTTGCGCCGGACACGGCCCGGCCGCAGGTGCGAGGACTTGGCGATGGAGGTGGACATGGCTAGCGCGTCCTTCTCGCTCGGCAACTGGTCCGTCTCCGTGCGCGGCAACCACGTCTACGATCGCGTCGCCGGGCCAGAGCACCGGCTGGACGTGACGATTCACGCGGCGGGCGACGTGGCGGCGCGACATCTCCCGCATGGCCTCGTGGGGCAGTCCTTTTCGTCGGCGACGCCGCGCGCGGGCGCGATCGACGCCTACCCAGACGCGGGGCGCTTTACGACTACCGCGATGGCAGAGGGCGCGAACCGACGGCGAGAGCGAGGGGAGGGCTGTGGCCGCCCCGACCTCACACAGCGAGCGGTGAGAGTAGGCGCCATCGACGGCGAGCCCGCCCAATACGAGGTGCCGACGGCCCACGCGACGAGCTTTACCTTTTCGCGCTTCGCCAGCGACGAGGCGACGAGGCTCGACCCGGCGCTGGTGGCGGCCGCCGACGCGTCCGCGCGCTCCGAGGAGGCGGCGGCGGAGGCAGCTTAGCTGGGCGTTGGTCCCCGCTCACTGGTCAGCGTTACGTGTTGAACGGCGACGGCCCTGTTGTTTCCATGTGTGTAGCCGAATGGTATGGCAAGGTAAGAGGGTAAGCAGCTCACTAAGCAGCTCACAAAATGATGTAGTGGCAAAGAGTGAGAGCAGAGAGGGGTTGTACGAGAAGGAAGCTGAGGGGTGGCCCGTCTACCGTCTACCGGGGTAG